ATGTTGCAAATCACTGCTGATTTTCAAACCATTAAGTCATTAAGTCTCAATTCCCAGCTTGTTTTAAATGCTTCCTTGCTTTAACACACCAGATTTAGATGACTGAAGCTTAGGAGTAGCCTGTTAAGCAGCCATCCAGTGAAGGCAGCTGAAACATGCAGGGCAGTGAGTCTCCAGGAGTAAAGTTGTAAATCTCTGCTTTATGCTATGAATATTTCAAGGCCAACAAAAAATATCTATTAAGTCAGTCACTGATTGTGAAAATTCTCTTAAAAAGATGAGAGTTCTCAAATTTTTATTCATAGCTACATTTAAATATAAGAGACAAAATAAGTAATAAAAATCCAGGAAATCACATTGTACATTATCTTTCAGGATTCATTTGTAAATTATGGTGGAAAAAAAGTATTTGGTCCACAAACAGGCTAGATGTCATCACAGACGTCTTTATGAAGCTCCTCTGTTCTCCTTTTGTTTCCTGTATTAATGGCACATGTTGTAAATCATTATTGTATAAAAAAAAAACACCTGTCCACATTCTCAAACAGTCAGACTCCAATCTCAACCATAGCTAATACCAAATAGCTGTTGAAGGGCACCAAGAAGAACGTCTTAGACCTGCACGAGAAGGAGTGAACCTACAGTAGGTTGGTGTGAATAAATCAACAGTGGGAGCAAATGTAAGATAATGGAAGATATACAAGACATAGTCTTCCTCTATCTGGGGCCCCATATAAAAGCTCATACTATGGGGCCATAATGATAATGAGAACAGTGAGCAATTGTCCAAGAACTGTGTGAAGAGACCTGATGAATGACCTGCAGGGAGACCAGAGGAACACACTATGCTGAGAGGGACTCACATCCTTCAATGCCAGGTGTGCATTCGCCCCGTCTAGGACCGTCAGAGCATATGGATGATCCAGAAGAGGATGAGGAGAATATCATGTGGACAGAAGAAACCAAAATATAACTTTCTGGCACCAACTCAACGTGTCGTGTTTAGGTATAATAATGAATGAGTTGCATCCCATAAATACCATATCTACTGTGAAGCATTTTTGTTTATGTATTTTCTATGAAATAACAGGATGACTGATCCGTGATAAGGAAATAATGAGTAAAGCCATGAATGGGAAGATTTTAAACCAAAATCTCCCTCCATCATTGAGAGTATTGAATATGAGACATGGCTGGGTCTTCCAGCATGACAATGATTCCAAACACACCGCTTAGGCAACAAAGGAGTGGCTCTGTTAAAAGCAATTACAGGTCCTGGAGTTGTCTAGCCAGTCTTAGACTTCAACCCCATAGAAATCTTGTGAGGGGGGGTTAAGTCAGTTTTTTTTCCAGCGACAGCCCTGAAACATTACTGCTCCATATATCTGTGTGGAGGGATGAACCAAAATACCAGCTACAGTGTGAGCAAACCTGGTGAAGATCCTGGTTAGCAATGACAAGTCATTGCCAACAAAGGTTCTGCTCCAGTGAACTTTTGTTATTGACCAAATACTTCATTTCCACCATCATTTAAAAATAAATTATTTTAAAATCCTTCAATGCAATTTCCTGGATTGTCTTTTCTCATTTTGTCTCTCATAAAGCATATCTATGATGACAATGACAGACCTCTCATCTTTCTAAGCAGGGGAACTTGCACAATCAATAACCCAATACTTTTTTTTTTTTGTCTGCTCTCTGTAATCTTGATTAATCTTTCTTGCAGGGATCCTACGTGTTTCCTGACTCATCAGGCTTGTCAGACGACTCTCAGTCTGGAGCGAGCCACCTTTGGCCCACTATGATCCCTCCGCGCTACTCCCCTCCCCATGAACACCCTGATGAGAAACCACCGCCATACAGCCCATAGGACGCTCCAAGAGAAGAAAACGTGGGAGATACTCTTAGATACTGTGAGCTTTTCTTCACAAACATAAGGGAAGGAAGGCCACTGGGTGGACTAACACAGTCCAGCTGAAGAGAACAAATGTTCCCCAGGCAACGCTCACACTCTGCTTTGTGTGTGCATATTAGTGCCCAGAGGGATACAACCTGCTCCATGGCAGGTTTGTTTACACATCTGTCTGCCTTAATGCATATAGACCTCTAACAATGCACCATTTAAAGACTTGGACTTATCCTGTACAGAAACTCTCTTCCAGTTCATGCTTTACATTCATGTAATTAAACTGGAGACGTAGGGATTGTCTGAGAGTCTCCTCTGCTGTCATTACTATCAATCTAGATGAAAGCTTTGGTGTCCAAATATGGATCAGCATCCAATTCATCTATGCTTCATAGTCTCTGAACGTTACTAAAAGAAACAGTTTGTGGTGATGAAGGCATTACATGCTCATGTTTGTACAGCAGCATGTCATAGTTAGCAGAACGAGGCCTACGGTAGAAAACGAATCCTATTTCTTTCTGTTCTCTTGCAGTTTTATTCAGGAAATACAAATAACCCTACAGTAGCTGGCAAGGAGATTTATTTACTCTATTTATTCTATTTCTACTGAAAGGCTGGTTTGCATAAATAAATGTTTGGGTTCCTTTTGTGTCAGGAAGTAGGTTTTCCCAGACCTCAAATGCCAACACATGCATGAAATGCAGTAAAAGCTGCAGGAACACTTTTCTTTCACTCCTTTGATGGTGGGTAACAATCTAAAACCAGCCACATACGTATAAAAAAAAAGCTGGAAATTAATCTATAGCTAATCAGAAGCATGTTCCTCTAAATGTTTGAATGTGTGAAAAAAAAATAGATCTAAATAAATTAGATCACTGAAAAGGGATTCTCTTCAGAAGTTTTAACTCTTATAATTGATTTGTTATTCAAGGAGGAATGATAATGGCTTAGAGCTTGCAGAAGCCCAAACTATTGATTGAAGTTTGTACGGGTTACTGAATGCATTTTATGAAGTTTAAAACAAACTTATTGTGTTGTGCTGATCTGCTTCAAGACACAAAGATTTATCCGGGAAATGAGCTGTAACTGTCTGGCATCTCTGTTAAGCCAACATTATACCAAAAGCTGTGTCGTTTGACTCGGGCTGACGAGGAAACGGCAGACATGCGTACTTCAATGCTCTCATTTCGAAATGAAAGCACTTTTGAAAAGTTTTGAGAAATGATATCGAGGTATATAATCTCCAACCCTTTAAGTCTAAGGTGAATTTCCAAAGTTCCTTTGATTTTCAGGGACATTTTATCTGCTGGTGTTTGATCTTAGGGTATTAAGTTCAAAGTCAGTGTAGAGATCTAACTGGAAATTTGTAGAGCAGCTCATGTTCCCTCTGCTGACAAGTTTTATGAAGACGACTTCATTTTCAGCAGGGACTTGGCACCGACCCACACTGCTAACCATGTTAACACTGTGACACTTGGTTGCAGCAAACTGGGCTGACTCAAACCCCATGCAGAATTTAGGAAGAGGAATTGGAAGCTTTGCTGGGTTTAAATTTTTTTTTTTGATTTTTCGCAACAGAATGGCTTTAAAAATACATAATATATTTTTTAGATTCACTTTTCTTGTTATTAGCTTAGAAATTCTTCATTTTTGTATTGTTTTTTTTTTTTTACATCTTGATACATACTGATTTTAAAGCTAACAAGGAATTCCTATAGCAGATGAGTTTTGTTTTATTCATAGGGGCATTATTAGTCAACAAAGCTTCAATCTTTATGGTTCTAAACAATTTTTAATCCGCCAGACTTGGGGTCAAATGGCTCTTTGAATTTTAAAGGTTGCAGACCAATGGATGTAGATGACCTGAAGGTCGCTGTAAAGCATCACTGGCTTCAGTAGCAGCTCCATAAGCTGATCATCTCCATACCATGCTGCAATAAGGCAGTGATCTGTGTAAAAGGAGCACCTAAGTATTGAGCTTATACCGGTACTACAGTACACAATAATATAAGTAGGCTAACATCTATGTGTTAAAAACATGAATAGTCTTATCTGATGTTCTCATTTTATGAAGGTTTTCATTAGATATTAGACATGATCGTCTAGATTAAAAGAAATGCTGAAATAAGTCACTCTGTATTAATTTAATCTAGATTATGCATCAGTTTCCTATTTTCAATTAAATCACTGAACAAATTTTTGAAAATATGTTAGCCTAGTCCATGAGCTCAGTATTTAAAGTAGTTTGCTGCAGCTTCATTCCAGTATCAGAACATTTCTGTGTACGAGTTGAAACGGGACGTCTTTGCCCAGTCCGCACTGATGGATCCGAACAATCAGTTCAGGATTCATTGATGTGATTTTAGGATAAACGGAAACAGATTTGTAAACATCACAGGAGGAGGTGTTTGTCAAAACGATCACTCTCAGCTTCTCGTTTTATAATGTTGTCATTGTGTCGGCAGTGGATGAGGGATCAGCTCCTTCTTAGTCTTTGCCAATAAATCATGTGTAATGCACGTTTTTTTTTTTCCTTCACCAAAGTTGACGGTGTGACTGTACAGAGACTGTTCTCTGCTGATGTTCTAAATAAACTATGTTGGTTTTGATTCCTTTTGGGTTTTTTTAATGTTAGCTTTGTATATATGGTTTATTTTTAATTGGTGCACCCTGAACCAGATAATCCTCATGACTCAGCAGGATTAAAGATCAATTGAGATTTTTCAGCTTCTACATTTAGTCTGAATTCACAGAGAAATAAAAGGATCCAAGAAAATATTGAGGGAGCAAAAATATTAACATTTTCTATTTATTTTGGAAAACTACAATAGCTTGAGTCCGACATTTTTTTTCAGCATAAAGGGGATTTCCTAAAGACAAAGACTTTTTTCAAGAGAAATCAATGTGTTTAAGTTTGGGATAATGGTATATCTGTACTATAAAAGAAGCTTGTGTCTTTACATCTTTTGCACCTGATGCAGTTCTTCACAAAATGGAGATTTGAACCTTGTTCTCCTGGACTAGTCGGACACTTTAACCACTTCACCAGGAAGACACATAGGAGGCACGTTAGAGAATAAAACAGGACACCAAATATTGTTGTTTATACGTTTATTAAAAACCAATTTGTAGCATTTAATCTGATAACATGAGTGTAGATTCAAGCATTAGCTCTACCTTTACCTGCAAAAAGCATGTTCTACTTTCTGACATGTAAAACAAAGGAAAAAACAACAACCCCTGATTTAAGTGCTAAGTACTAACAAACCAGTTAGTATCCCTACCTTTACGTTAACATAAAAAAAAATCCAGTTAACATGTAAGTAATTCAACCAGCATACTGTTTTTTAAAAACCACTTTTAGGACTGTACAAATGTTCGGCCCCAAAGACACAATAAAAAAATATAATTTACAAAAAAATTAACATTAAAATAATAAAAAACATAATCAGAGAAAACTGCTAATATTAACAGCTGGACTATTTTATTGAAGACAGTTTCAATATTTCGAAAATCTTATTGCATTCCATTACTTGCATTTTATAGTTTTTTATGAAAAAAAAGTAGTCGAATATAGACGCCATCAGAAAACAAAGCACGGTTTAATAAATGAATGGCTCATATTAATAAAACAGATCACCCTGTTCCTGATCGATGAAATGTGACTTGATCAGCCTGCATGAGACATCCCACCTTTGAGTAGTCAGGAAATTTAACATTATATATATATATATTAGGGCTGCAACTAATGATTATTTTGCAAATCGATTAATCTGTCGATCATTTTTTCGATTAATAATGGGATAACCAGAGGTTTCTTAAAAGAGACTTTTTGTGAAATCAAACCAGGTGAAACTGAAACATTTCCACTTGAGAAATTCTGGATAGCGGATATTGACAGACGAAGATGTTTATCTTAAATGCAACATGTTTAAATATAACTGTTTTAATTTTTGTATAATTGCTGCTCTAAGTGCTCTCAGCTAAAGACATGTTAGAGTCTCTACACTCCAGTTAACAATTAATTGATTACTAAATTAGTTGACTATTATTTCAATAACCGATTAATCACAATCCGATAAATTTTTTCAGCCCTATTATAATATATATATTATATATATAGATTATTATATATATATTATTAGATAGTATGTTATTTATATTTATGGGGGTGCTCATTGGGTAGCACTGCTGCCTTGCAGCAAGAATGTTGCGGGTTCGATTCCCGGCCCGGGGTCTTTTCTGCATGGAATTTGCATGTTGTGCGTGTGCGGGTTCTCTCTGGGTACTCCAGCTTCCTCCCACAGTCCAAAAACATGACTGTAAGGTAATTAGGCTTCTCTGAATTCTCCTTAGCTGAGAATGGTTGTCTCTGTGTTGCCCTGTGACAGACTGGGGACCTGTCCAGGGTAAACCCCGCCTCTCCCCCGTAGACAGCTGGCCAAGCTCATGGCCCCGCTTGGGATAAAGCGTGTCAGAAAATGGATGGATATTATATCTATACATAAATAAAAGGTCCCATTATCAAATCAACTAAAAGCAATGACTTAACAGATCTTTTCCTGTTGAATGTCCATAGCTGCTATAATAGATATACAACAAATTTCATCACTGATTTTTTTAAAGGCAAAAAAAAAAAAAAAAGTCTTCACTTTTAGAGACAAGAGAATGTGCACATTCTGGTATGAAAGAGGCTTTATAAATTCTAGTAGACTCGTCTGTTACGACAATCTGCAAGCATTAGTGACAAACTGTGGGGCAATGTATAACATTTATAATAAAAGTTTAACCATTCAAATCTTGTTAATTTCATAACATGAAGACCTTGCTAAGAGCCTTTATATGCTGAGGGTTTAGATTTTGTCTTCAGATAAGTTGAAAATGAGGACTAAAATAGAAGAATAACCAAGAAGGCACAGGATAGGAGGACTGACTGAGGTCTATGATGTGATATATTCAAACTCAGTGGCTCCATCTAGAGGAGAGCTCATGGCTGATATTGGCTGTGTGTGAGAGTCTGGTCTCATGTGAGCACCCGGCTCGGTGAAGATGTCGTCCCAGCTCAACATCCTGTTCTGGGATGGTGAGTGGATGGCCTCCGTGTCTGCAGAGGTCATTTCCAACATGCTACCATCATCAGAAATGAGTGGCGAGTCCTGTAGGTTGGTCACCCATGACTTTTTCTTATTTGATCTACATGGCAGCAGGCGGTACAATTTGTTGCCTCCGTCATCTTTCTCCTTCCTCCCGCATGCATCCTGATTGTGGGCCTGCTTGCAGTGGTTGGAGAGAACCTGGTAATTTACAAACATTTCATTACAGATCAGGCACTGGTACCTCCTTTCACCAGTGTGGGTCACTTCGTGTTTAGTTCTGTATTCTGCCAGGGCGAAAACCTTGTTGCAGAACCGACATGGGTACTTCTTTTCCCATGAGTGAGTGTTGAAGTGACGACGCAGGCTAGTGATGCACACGTACGGGCGTCTACACACGGCGCAAACATAAAAAGTCTTTCCATCCATGACCACCTCATAGTGATCCTCTAGTTCCATGGTGTTCTTCTTTTTCTTTGGACCTTCCAATGGCGACAACGGCATGTCATCAAAGGGTTTTTTGGGCGTTGCCATCAACGCTCTTTTCACTTTGGGTTTAGAGCCTCCTTCTCCTGGATCTTCTTTCATTTGGACAATGTCGTAGGTGTCCTCTCCGATGTTAGCGTACACTTTACAACCCGATGAAAGAGAATCGATCTGTGTGCCTGTGTCCAGGGTCACCGTCTGTTTTGCTTCTGTACTTCCCTTGAGGTTGTCAGCAGTGATAGATGAAATTTCAGAAACGTCCATGAGCCTTATCTTGAAATCCGAATGCTGAGATGTTGCCACTTGCTTTTTGTGAACCCCCAACATCTCGCTAGTTTCAAATGTCTGGGAAGCACTTGTCGTCTGAGGGGTGAGGCTGTGGGATTGGGAAGGTGTTGTGGGGACACTCCCAGAGGACACCCTAGGTGATAAGTTACTGGAGCTGCTGTCTGGATTGTTTAGAGGACTGTTCACTTGTCCAGTGATGCTAGGATACTTGGCACCATTGGTTCTCAGGACAGCTGCTGTTTTTACTGCATGATTTGAATCTTCACTCTGCCTGGTTCCAACGCTTTCTGAATCCACTTTGTCCAAATCAATTATTTCAGAGGGATCGGCTCTCCGACTTGCTGCTCTGCTTTGAGCATCTGTATGCGAAACAAACACAACATCGTCCAAGTCCTCCTCATCAGCTGCAGGTTTCTTCGCCTGGTTAAATTCCTCTGCAGAAATGGAGAAAGACTCAGCAATCACAGGCATGATTTCCGAAGAAGAGCTGCCTTTGTTTCCCAACTCCTGCGACAAACCTTGCAAACCTTTCACTTGTGAAAGTGGAGAATGCAAGTTAGAAATAAACTTCACTCCCAGTATCTTTCCAGCTTTTATGAGCTCCTCAAGCATGTCAGACCGGATGCGGATAATTTTGGAGCTGTAGATGTAGTTGAGGACATGTTCAAAGATTTCTGGCTTGATGAAGTTAAGCTCGATCACTTGTCCAGCGACATCAAAGAGCTGGTGAAAGTACGTGCTAGAGGCGGACAGAATTGTTTTGTGCGCTCTGAATTTTTTGTCCTGTATAATGATGGTGACATCACAAAACAATCCAAGGCTTCGCTGCTCATTCAGGGACTTCAGAAGAGCTGCCGAATACTGCGTGTCAGTCGCAGATATCAGCTTTAAGCCTGGCATGGCTGCAGGAAGAGAACAGACAATCAAAACAGGGAAACACTTAGAATCCATCCTGCGTATATAGTTAGGTCAATCTGTCAGTTTATCATAACTAAATACACCTCACTCACTATGCAGGAATTTAATAAACAAAAAACCTGAAGAGCTTCTGTTTGTTCAGGTTGGATTATATGAAGATACCTCCAGAGATCAAGAAAAACGCTCAGTTGTTCTTTTCACGATCCAACAACTAACTTAAAAGTATTATACTTAAATTTTACTAAAATAAAGTAGTACTTAATGCTGAAGTCCAGAGAAAAAAAAAACTGGACACAAATAAAAAAAAAAGAGTGATCCTTTGTGGAACTATGTGTGTCTGCCAGCTTTACTAAACATCTTTTCTGCCCATTTATCTTTGGAAGGTATTACTACTATATCATTCCAGCAAAGCTAATTTGATGTTGTCTATTACATAGAATTTACACATATGATTTAACAACAGTCCAGGGTGGAGATATGCAACCATGTTACCATGATGAACAAGCCTGACAAAATATATGAACATACATACATTTAAGGTATAGGAAAAGGAATTTAAATTAGCTACTTCTGACCATATACATACTCACTAAGAATTATTATTTAAAAAGTGACAAGTAACTGATTTAAACCGTTACAATATTCCTGTTTAATCAAATGGTTACCAAATTACAGCACATATTTAACGATAAAAAGAGAATTTATACATTTTATCTTTAAAAACTTGAATGCTCTTTTGTTAAAGCACGTCTATGCTGCTTAAATAAACATTATGTTACTAGTTTTTAACATATTAGTAGCTAAATAGTCGACCGGTGCAGTTAGTATGCTAACAAAGGTAAAGATGTCTTCTATCTAACGAAGAGGAAGTGCGGCCTGTTGGCTAGCATTCTGTTAGCATGGGAGGATTTATTACAAAAATACGGGCAAATAAATGACGTAGAGGGTGAACTTATAACACACAAAGTGACACTTGGATATTTACTTGCAACTTAAATGATGGAGCTAAATCTAAACCTGAAGGTAGACACAAAAGCTAGCGGGTAAATAATTACCTTCTTCGCAGAAAGACAGCAAACCGGAACTACCCTACAGTCAGCTGCGTCACCGGAAATTAATTGAAGACTTTCAGAGTAAAGGTATCAAATCCGTGCTTTTTAAATTTAACTGGCTTTAGGAAAAAAATGCATTATAACCGTGCTATTACATATGAAAAAAGGTACAATCTATCTATGTAATGTTTCACAAAGCAACTGACTGACCAATATGGCTGTGATATCTTTGTGATAATATGTTATTAATGAGTCATCCGACAAATCTTTTTTAGAATAAACGTAAATCTCTTTTCACAGCCACAAAAGCAAATCATTATTTAAATTATCCTTTTTTTTTTTATTTTTTATTTTTACTTTATTTAAACAAAGTAAATACAAACAAGTAAGGAAATAGCAAGAGTACAAATATGTGGAAGGCATAGTAGAGGCAGATTTTAAAAATGGAAGCACAAGGCAACAAAAAAATATAAATAAATAAAAGGAATGGCTGATAATAATGAAATAATTATTAAAATGGCAACAAGAGGATTCATGTTAGGATGATGATCATCAGTGTTTCAGTCAGGTATTTGTATGATTCGATATTTAAGAGATTTCAAATATAACTTGAAATCAGTTTAAAAAAAAGATTGGGGATGATATCAACACTCTTTGTTTATGAATAAAGAATTTAGCTAAACACAAAATAAGGTTATTGATTTGTTTTTCAATAATATTCCAAAAGTTACCATATCTCTAGAAATAGATTCAGGAAGTGCAATTTTCGATTTGATCCATGTTTCTAAGCAATTCCAAAATGTTATGGTTTGATTGGATTCATAGAAGACAATTGTTTCTATATCACTTTCACAGAATGAGCATTTATTGTCATCAATATTAAAACGAATTCTTAGTAGTTCTTTTGAGGAGTAAATTGCATTTAAAAATTTAAAGTGAGTATCTTTAGCTTTTCGTTGTATGAGGAGCTTTATATTAAGAGTCCTCAGTGTTTCAATCGATTTTTTTTTCTCAAATTCGCAAAGAAAGTTATTTTTATTTATTGTTATTGGATTTTTGGTCAGTGATTGATGTTCCATTATTGATAAATTGGTTAGTTCTGGGGTCATTGGATAATATGTTATTATATTTTTAATCTGATTAATAGATTGTTTTGGTAAGGTTTTAAGTAATCTGCTAAATTCAGCTTTTGGAACTTTAGTCCCCTTCCGGAACTGTCGCTCTGTGGATTTGGTAGATAGACGGACCTGTTTAAGCGTTGGACACAATTTCTTTTCCTGTTTTTAATTACGTATTAGAATCGTTAGCAACATACTTTACCGTACCCTCTAGCTGTGTTAAACTGCATTAGGCAGTAAGGTCACAGATATTAGAGGGAATGCCTCTCTCTGATCGGTCGAGCTCCGACGGGGACAGGGGCTCCCGGAGTCCTCGGGCCCGGAGACCCCGGACACGATCCCGCAGCCGAAATCGCAGCAGAGACCACAGCTTGTCTCCGGACAGCTTCGGGCCCAAACTCCCGAAACCCCGCAACAAAGAGAGGGAGCAAGAGGAACGGGAGCGTCGATTTAAAGAGGCGAGAAATATCAGAAGAATCCGCATCGGGAGTCCCGGTCTGAGCCGGTCCAGATCCAGGTCCAGAGAACGACACAACAACGGCAGCAACCACAGCCACTGGTCCGAGCAGCGGGACGGAAAACATGGAGGGTTCAAAGATGACTATTATTACCAGCAGCAGAGGGACGATGTTCAGAGGCAGAGGCAGGAGGCTTTTATTGCCAGGTAACAATTAATAAAGAATCCCCACAGCATAATGCAGCCACCACCATGTTTTACTGTGCAGCGGTTGTGCTCAGACTAATATAGTTATATATAGCAGTCTGATTGTAGGATGACTATTTATCTCTCAATAGTGACTTTAAAGTTGCATTATAAAGTTACATCTGAACAAAAGAGAAAGATTATGGTGGAAAAGTATTTTTTCCCCACCTGTTTTAGAATGAGGAACTCTTGTAATATTTTTTACATATTGCGAAACATTTAAGACCAGTTTTCTTGTAATTTTAAGGAGCATACCTTACAATTTATATTTAAATAACTATTGATTTATTTTAGGATTAGTATGTGACCAGTTGACCCAAGTATCTGGGTTTTGTGCTGCAGGCGTCTGCAGGAACGGGAGAGGATTGGTGAGCTTGGTTGTCCTGAAGTCTGGGGATATTCTCCAAGAGTGAAAGAACCAGAGTAAGTGAAGAATCCACTAAATAGATGGGTTGGCTTTACGTTGCTGCTGTTAATTATGCCTTCTCTCGCCATCAGCTCTGATGAATTTACACCAGTTGAAGAAGACGAGAAAAACAGCAGCTCAGATTTGAGCTCAGAAGGTGGGTAGATTCTGACAAAAAATCAGTGGCAGTGAATATATGGTGGAAAGAAACGGTATTTTCACTTAGATTTGCAGCATTTGCACTTTTTTTTACCTCTTCTATGCAATCTTATTTGTGGTTAACAGAGGAAAAGAAGAAGAAAAAGAAGAAGAAAAAGAAGTCAAAGAAAAATAAAACCAAAAAACACCCAGAGGACCGCGAGTTGGAATCCGATTCAGAGGGTGAGACATTTTGAATTGAATGTACTTTTTTCTTTTCTTTTTTTGTTTAGCTAAATTGTGTTTTTTTTTTTTTTTCTAAAACAGAAGAAGTAAAGAAGAAGAAAAAAAAGAAGAAGAGTAAGAAGTAAGTTCTGATATGGCAGCCATCAACCAGCTTAATTCTCCAGTTCATTTTAGTTGTGTTTGATTAAAATCTCTTAATTGTGTTGCAGGTCTAAGAAGTCCAAGAAGAAGAAGTCCAAGAAGAACCAGAAAGAGTCCAGTGACTCAAGCAGCGAGGAGTCAGAAGAAGAGGAAGAAGAGACCGGCGGACTGATGTGGGTGGAGAAAACTGGAACCGATGAAAACATTGTTGGTCCAGAGGCTCCGCTCACTCACATGTCGCAGGATGACAAACCGCTTGAGTGAGTCTCTTTAGATTTTCTCTAGATCTTTAAGAAGCTTTTTTTTTGGAAACCCTGAAGATTATTATATTTCAACCACGTTTTGTCAGTCATGTGTTTGTCTGATGGCCTTACGTTTTGTCTTCCCCCAGTTTTGGTCATGCGCTGTTGCCGGGTGAAGGTGCTGCTATGGCAGAGTACGTGAAAGCTGGCAAACGAATCCCAAGAAGAGGAGAAATCGGCCTCACCAGCAATGAGATCGCAAACTTTGAGAAGTCCGGTTACGTCATGAGCGGCAGCAGGTGGGCACAGCTCAGAAGTCAGAGTATAAATAGTAAAAAAACAAGACATAATCTACGCTATACACAACAAAAGGGTTGGTTTGTATGTCCTATAGGGCTGCAACTAATTAGTATTTTACAAATCAATTCATCTGTCAATTATTATTTCAATTAATAATTGAATAGCCAAAGATTTATTGAAGGAGATTTTAACTAAATCAAACGAGGTGAAACTAAAACTTTTCCACTTGAGTTCTGAATAGAGCATATTGACAGTTTCTGATCTTAAATACAAGATGTTTATATGTTTTCTTTTACAATTTTGATATAATTTCTGCAATAGGTGGTTTGCTCTGTCAGCTAAAAGCATTCTTTAGTGGCTCTATACCCCAGTTAACGATTAATCAATTACTAAACGATCATTTCAATAATCAATTTATTTGATTGTTCCAGCCCTTGTGTCATAGACATCTTTACAAAAGTATCAGTATTGGTTAGCCATTTCACATTACACCAAGAACCCAGCATGATGGCAGTGGCTGCATCATGCTGTGGGGATATATTTTTTCAGATTAGCAAAGGTGACAGAAACACCCTAAAAGCCATGTGTGGGAAAATGCTATGAAAGAGTTCTTCCTCAGATTAGAGGGCCGAAGACTGAACCTTTGCAAGGCATATTTTATCAGTCAATATTCATCTAAAAAAAAAAAATTTTTTTTAATAAATTTGTAATGTTTTACAGGAATTACTATGACCTAGAAATTTAATTCTTGGCAGAAATTAACCAACAGTGGGTGAAATGAAGAGAAATGTGAGGTTCTTGCACACTCCTTTACAGATAATTAGAATTTTTTGGTGTGAATCTGCTAACAGAACAGGGAAATTACAAAAAGATATTATGAAAAAGGATTTGGGACATGTGCTTTGCATCTTTTCTGAGAGAAATTATTTAAATTGGAAATGAAACTACCCTTAAAGGTTGGTGCTACTTCACCTGATTCCCTGGGATTAGAGACTGAAATACCTGGAGGACCTTTTGAAAAGAACCTGGAATTTAAAAACAGTTTCTTGCTATTATTTACAAGTCAATGAGGAAAACTTAAGATTTTCTCAAACATTCGCTGGAAGTTGACGTTTTCTATCCACTGGTCTTCAAATTTATTAAATATAGATAATTTTGGTGTACATTTCCCCCCTTAAACCAAACTGGTTCTTTATTGCAGCTATTCTTGTTAGTTTTCTCCGTAACACTGATAGATGATCTGTTCCCCCCCACAGACATCGGCGTATGGAGGCTGTGCGTCTGAGAAAGGAAAACCAGATCTACAGCGCAGATGAAAAGAGAGCTCTGGCCTCCTTCAACCAGGAGGAGAGGAGGAAGAGGGAGAGCAAGATCCTGTCGAGTTTCAGAGAGATGGTGTATAGAAAAACCAAAGGCAAGGAGGAGAAATGACTGCTCTATTGTTCCCTGCTGCTGGAAGGACCTGCTTTGTCTGGTGGCTTTAAGTGTTGACTCTTATTTCTCAGTCTCATTGAAGTGAGGGACAATTTTAAGCATAAAAGAAAAAAAGAAATATTGAAGTTCTTTTATTTTTTGGGTTATTCAAAATCCACATTAATATAAAAAAATAAAAGACCTGTTTCTCTTTACAACTGTTTTCAGTGACATTATGCTAAGGAAATGTCAAAAATTCCTTAGTATAAATAAAAAAAAAAGTAAAAATTTTTTGTAAATGTTTTAGTTGTTTAAAAAAAAACAAAAAAAACTTTGGTTTAATAAAAGATCTACTTAACAAGAAAGTGTGGTTTTACTAACTAGTACACAGAAGGAATTGTTTATGGATGAAGTAAATGCTTGTTTCTTTGTGTATTAGACTTTAAAGCCTTTTTTTATATTTCAGCAGAAAAAGTAAAATGTTGATTCATCTAACAGAAGTTTAATTTAAAGAGCTAATTGTGATAAACCCAAAGTAATAGGTAAAAGATAACAGCATTCAAACTCTTCCAGTGTGGAACAGTTTATTTAATCACAACTGATTTCAAAAGAAAAACAATGTTCATACATTTAATTTACAACATCGACATTTCGGCTCTGCATGATCCTCTTCAATTAATGTTCTCCAGCCCCTGTGGGGGGAAACAAAAACAAAGCTGTTATGGGACATAAGGTTGTTTATAGGAAAACACACGTTCTCATTCTTCAGACTGATTTGACTAAATTCTCTCCAGCTCCAACTGCAGCTGATGTGTTTGTCTTTTTTGGTAAAACCTAAAGCTGGAGTCTAGAGTGGATTAATTCCAACAATGCAGATGTTAGCATCTGATTCTATTTGTACAGGAGAAAAGTAAATGATTATTTCATGACAGCTTTGATGATCCTAATGATTTCAAAGTTTTTTTTTCCAATGAATTGGCCACTCATGCTGCAAAACACCCCCATAACATGATGGTATCACCGCCGTACCTTAAAACATGGACTGTATATTTTTTCGTCCAAACACCTCAGTTTTAATATCTCAAAAGATCTCTCATTACTCTGACCTGTAGCATATAGAATATTTCTAACGATCCTCACTAAATCTAATAAACAGTGTCACTTTAGTTGGTCTGAGTAAGTTAATATCTGGTTTAACCTGTTCAAATAAAATAGCCAGGAAGTATCGTTCTTTGATTAGTGAGGAGTTTTTTTTTTTGTATTTACAGTACAGGAGTTATCAATATCAAAATTAAATCCCTGGAATGTGTTTTTTGCTGGATATATCTTGTGTATAATTATATAAGATACTTCTTTGATTTTTATCATCTAATCGACCAAGTTTTGTTTTCAATAAATGTCCTTAAACAAGAGGACCGAAACATTTTAGCAGAAGGAAACATTACATTTACAAAAATAGATCTTATTTGAACATTTGATTGTTTGCAACATCTACATTTTACAGAAAACATATTGTTCACAGAAGCTGCTATAAAAACCTCTGGAGTGGCAGTAAAACATTTCCCTTCGGTGTAACAGCATCATCAAATCTAGAAATATATTTTTTTGAAAAGCAATATTTGATCATCAGATTTCATAATTTGTGAAACTAAAACAAAACTAATATGACCCAGTTTTGTGATATACAAAGATCTGTTTTTATATTGAATATTCCCGTTACTCTATAGATATAATAGTTAGTAGGTGAGCAATGTTTGTACAGCATCTTCCATGCCAGCAGAGCTTGCCTGTCAAAAGTTGCCAATTTTACAGTTTAAGATTATAGTCACATTTAACAAAAAGCTGAGTTCTCCAACTGAACTACAAATACATTTTCAGGCAAAGCATTCCAAATATCTTCCTTTTATTTATTTAATACTGATTTTTGAATCTTTTATAATCCTCTTCCTGTCTTATCTTCATTCCACCTCTTTGGCCATTTTTCCATTTCTTCACTCTTAATAAGTGATTTTCCTTCCCCCTTCCTAAAAGAAATTGTAATGATTATTGTTCCCTCTAAAGCCATTTTTGCTAATATATCTGCTTTTTCATTTACTTTTACACTTTCATGTGCTAGAATTATCTTCCTCTTCATTTAACTTGGACATTTATTTTAAACCACTGTCTAAGATTTCATAACTATATATATATATATATATATATATATATATATAATTAATATTATTGGGAACGATCTGTTGGTATTTGAAGCAGACTCACCTTGGACTGGAAGTGCTCACCCGTTCCTGACACTCTACTGTCTCTCTGCATCAGGTACCACTGCCACGGAATCCGGGCGACCCTTTTCTCCTGCAGGGGATAAAACAGACAGCCTCAGTCAGAGCATTTAGACCAGAAATAAACAGGTTGTTAGGTCGCCGTCTTTCACCTTTCCACCGTTGGTGAACTTGTGGACGTTTGCAGTCACAATCCCCGGAATAATTAGACACACGGTCATTATACCGAGGCTGGGAAGGATTTCATACCACATGTTTAGTCGCTGGTACTGCCAGGAGTATTTAACAAGCAGCGAGGACAACAAAGTTGTCCCTAAAATTGGCAAAAAGCTTCGTATTATGCTAACGCTGCTAAGAAAATGTCGACCGCTCTGACCTGACTTCCGTGACGAGAGGGAAGAATTTCCAGTTCAAGCGTTTTCAAAGTAAAAGCATAATTCAAAATTTGAGTAAAGTAAAAGTTAAATTAGATTTAGTTCAATTACTTAGAAGTTATTCAGATAGTAATATTTACAGTATAGTATTTCGATATCTAAAAATAACACATTTATATAATAGAATTTAATTCCTGAGAGCCATTCTGGTCCACACTCCATTCCAGTAGATGGCGGAAATGCATCTATCTGTTGTTTGCCAACCGCCAAAAAATGTCAAAGAAGAAGAAGAAGAAAGTAAAAGCATCAAGAGCGTCCTTCGTTCAAAGAAGTTTTTGTTTTCGGCTTGAGAACAACACTATCACACCAAAACTTGCTAAATTTAATCAATATAAAAACACTATATATTTTAAAACCAGAGTGACCAGGAAAATGTAGATGAAAATGTCAGTCATAAATTTCTAGCGATACATAGTAAATTATTCAAATTTATCTATTAACGCCACATCAATCACTGACCAAAAAAATCAATAACCATACAATTAGGAACTGCCTAAACGAAACTTTGTTCCCTGGGAAAATAAATAAAAATAACCTTCTTTGCAAATTTGAGAAAAAATAAATTCAAACACTGAGAACTCTTTATCTAAAACCCCCCATACAACCAAAAGCTAAAGAAACCCACTTTAAAATTTTAAATGCAATTTACCCCTCAAAAGAACTGCTAAGAATTAATGTTAATATTGATATCAATAAATGCTCATTCTGTGAAAGTGATATAGAAACAATTGACCATGTCTTCTATGAATGCAATTAAACCAAAACATTTTGGAATTGCTTAGAAACATGGATGAAATAAAAAAATTGCACTTCCTGAATATATTTATAGAGATATGGTCACTGTTGGGATATTATTGAAAAACAAAACAATAGAACTCTTTTGTAACCTTATTTTGTGTTTAGCATAATTCTTTATTCATAAACAAAAAGTGTTAAGATCATCCCTAATCTTTAAAGTTTTTTTTTATCTGAATTCATGTTATATTTGAAATCTTTTAAATGTATCGAATCATACGAATACCTGACTGAAATACTGAAATGCTTATCAATAATGCCTTGTGTTTCCATTTTTGAAATCTGCCTCTACTATGCCTTCCACAGATTTGTACTGTTGCTATTGCCTTACTTGTTTCTACTTACTTTGTTTAAAAAAAAAAACATTGTAAATTATTACAATTATATGCTAAATATTTTTGAGATCCTAATACAACAAATAAAAGACAAACATTCACTTATATTTTACACTCTTTTGGATAGGTTTAATTTAAAAGGTAATACAGTTTTTGTTCATCTTTATCACAGAGGAGGATCACTGATTTATACATTTTATTTCAGTATAATATGGGGGGAAAAGTCAGAATTCTGACTTCAGTCTCAAAATTCTTTATGACACATCTCTACGATATATTAAATTTTTTAAAGAAAGTAATACAATTACCATTTTTAAGGGCACAATCATGCTGGATTTTTACTGTGGAGTATACATTAAAGTAGAAGCTATAAAAAGACACAAAAGGAAATTTTGAATATCAACAAATATAATTAAAATAGTTTTTAAAATAAACAATAATCAAATAGTGCTGACAACTGATGAACTGAAAGACTTATGAACATGAAAGCGAGAAATTAAAAGGATGGTTGCAAAGACAGGCAAAGAATGAAGTTTTAAAGGAATATTGGGAAATGAAAGAAAAATAAACGATATTCACAAATTAAGGAAAGCATTATTTATTTATCTACAGAATACAAAATAAAAAAATAAATAAAATTTGATGTAAAGTAATGTTGCTACACACTCATGTACAGTAGGTGGCGGTATGCTCCTTAAAGTTGCTTGCGATCCGCCATAACAGAAAATAAGGAGAAGAAGAAGTAGTAGCGCTGACAGGGGGTCAGGCGCTCTTCATCTCCCCCTTGTGGTGGCGACTGAACTGCAAGTTTAGCCGTTAGAGAGGAAGTTGATCAGCTCGGTTGGTTCAGGCAGGCTAACTTGCTAAAAAAAAGTAAACAAGTTTTCTGGCTGCTATCAAAGTAAACACTGTAGCCTTTCAGCTATGAAAGAAGACAAAGAAAACACGCGACCGAAGGAGAAAAAAGTCGAGATAAGGTGTGAAGATGGAGAGAAGACGGAGAAGTGTAAGGAGAAGAAGGAGACCATGACAAAGGTAGAAACTGCTAGCAGAGCTGTTATTGCTAGCAGCAGCTGCTTAAAGGTTTGACTAGTTTAAAAAGATCGCATCATTCGTTAAGAACTATGGTGTTAAACTAGTTTAAATTTGTAAAGTTAAGATTAAATAGTATGTTGCGCTTTATTTTAAGGTAATATAAGTTTGATTGTGAACATTATTTTTAACTGTGTTTAAACAATAATCTCCAAGATTGTGATCAGGAGGTTACCTCCTAATCTAACTAAAGAGGAGCTGGAGGAGCAGCTGCAGCCTCTTCCAGAGGTGGACTACATGGAGTTTTTCTCCAACGACACCAGGTAGTTCTCTAATTACCACACCTCCTCTGTGTTCATGTTTATTTATTTTTCTAAAACTCAGTTCCTTCTGCAGCCTTTTCCCCCATCTCTTCGCCAGAGCTTATATCAGTTTCAAAAATCAGGAGGACATTGTTCTCTTCAGGGATCGATTCGATGGATATGTCTTCATAGATAACAGAGGTATGATTGGGAAAAAGAAATAACATTTTCCAAAGAGTGAAATCAATGCATGATTGTTGTCTGTATATGTGTGTTGTTCCTTAACAGGACAGGAGTATCCTGCCATCGTGGAGTTTGCCCCTTTCCAAAAGACAGCTAAGAAAAGAAGCAAGAAGAAGGACTCAAAATGTGGAACAATTATTGAAGGTAAAATTGTTCTACTTTTCTACTATAAACTCTAATAAAACAGAGGCTCGTAATAAAAAGAGGGTTCAGCTCAGTCTGTGGCTTCTATAAGAGATGTGACCCAACAATCTGTAATATAATAGATCAGACTAAGAAGGCTGATTTTTCTTCCAGGCAATCATATCAGGCAACCCAGGGCAGTGTTGTGCATGAACGCATTCAATGAACCTTTTTTACTGGATACTTTCCTAATTTTAGTGGAAGGTGAACTGAACGGATCACTTTGAAATATCGAATGTGAGCAAGAGCAACATTAACTCTGAGAATAAAGGCCAATTTGTGCTTCTGACGTATAGCCTCTGCAACCGTCAAATCTGTCTCTTTGTGCAACCATGCTCCCCGCGCAGAGGCTCTGCAAGCATCGTTGCACACCTCAAAAACATTCTGACTACTCGTCGGACGGATGCAAACTCGCGGAGACCTCAAGTAGTAATGCACAGACAAAAAGCAGCTCTGATTGGTCCTTGGTGTGCCTTTCGGGCTGTCTGTGTGGTTAATCTGTCTATTTGCAAACTCCATTAACAGAACCTGTTCCTCTTCGATGTCTAGAAACTCTAGATCCATCTCCCTTACCGTGATATTTTGCAGACACGCCATTGTTGTTTTGGAAGATAAACACTCCTGCCGGTGCCGCCGAAATTCTCATGACCATCCGCCGAAGTTCCTGCGAGTTCTCTAATTGGCTCCCCTTGTGCTTTTGCGGGAAACTGCTGTGCGTTCCTAGAAATTCCAGACCGACGTTGCAGAAGCATACCAGCAAAACTGGTTTGCGACCAGACGCAAGCGACATTTGATGTTTCAGGTCGCAGAAGTATAATCTGCCCTTAATGATCAACACACAAAGCTCATGTTTGCTGTCATTTGAAAACGACACTTTTCATTCGATAGCGTCGGGTTTTACAGCATGACGGACCTAGCCTGTGTGCCATTCCGAACTTAGTCCCGCCCACAAGCTTTGAGGTCGGGAAGTTCGGTCTGGCATTGCTCAATAGTAGCGCGAGTATGCTCGCACAATATCAGGCGGGTCAATCAAATTGTCAGGGCGGGCTTTATACGATGATGGACAGATGATCAACAGTAACGTAATCAACCACGTGACCAAAGCGTGCTTTGGCGACAACAACAATGGCTGCTGCTGGAGTATTGGGGTGAGTAGATTCTGCTATTAGGTCTGTTCTAGAAGATATCCACAGCAAATTAATTTTAAAAGAGGAACAGAGAAACGAGATCAAGGCTCATCGTTTTATTCTAGGTGTGCAACTGCACGCTTTGATTTTTGTTGACAACAACTGTGCGTCGCTTAACATACGTCACGCACTGCATTGCTCTTATTGGTTGTAGGTCTATCCAATTGAGTGCAGAGGCATTTTTTTTCCTGGTTCGTTCAAAACGCCCCATAATCACAGCTCTATGGAGCAGTATCAGACTCATATTCTGACTGGAATTGAGTAGGACTACGTCAGGCTATGACGGACCAGCGTATCTACTGCTAGTACTAGTCTGAGCGATTCAGACTCATCTACTGATATTTCCGATGCCAGTTTTGAAGAGTGCGTGGTTCTGTACCATACGTGTATGAATAATTATTAGAGCTGCATCAATCCGATATCTGGATCGGATATTGAAATTGTTGGAATTGTTATTTCTATATTTTGAAGGCTTATTTATTAAAAAATAATTACATTTATATGTATGTTAATTTTTTACCTTTTGTTACACAATGTTTATTTTGAGGTAAAGTCTTCGCTCACATGGCAAGGTGTATGGTTTATTCATTTAACAGTTTAATCCGATCGGTATCGGGTGCCGGCCGATACGCTTAGCTCGGGTATCGGTATCTGATTGAATCGGAAAAAACTAGATCGGTGCATCTCCAATATTTATACTTCGTTTTGCTTTTGGTTTTCCTTTTGTGTCTTTGTAGATCCCGATTATAAAAGGTTCCTTGAGTATTACAATGGAGATGAAGAGAAGCTGACGTCGACGCCGGAGACTCTGCTAGAGGAGATCGAGGCAAGATCGAAGGAACTGGAAGGTTTGTTTTAACGAGCCGAACTAAAAGCATCACCGTATGTTTGGACAGCAGCGACATCAAGAAAAGTTGATTTAAGATGCGTTTGTCTTTTTAGCCAAAAAAACAACTCCTCTGCTGGACTTTCTGAAGAACAAACAGGTAAACATAATGCAGCGCTGTGAGAAAAAGGTTTACCCTTTAAAGAAAAATGCATATATCTTTTTTTGGGGGGATAATTGAATACATTATAGGGGAAAAGCCAATTTGGAAAATCTGACATTAGGCCTTTGATAATAATTGATTAAAATTGATTGATTAAATTTTTCTGTTTTTGAAGATTTACTTTTTGAAAATTTTGATTTTCTTTTTTCTTGACATCAGTTCATCACTTTTTGTCCTCAGATGTGTTTTTATAGCTGATAAACTAGCTGACTTATAATTTATGCAATTAAGATGCATGAAAGTCACCCCCTACACATGATGATTAAAAATAAATGCTTTTTTAAAGCAATTAACATAATTGTTTATTTTGTTTTTATAAGTATAAAACTTGAAGGAAAAAAAAGAAATTAATCTGATTTTAAAGGAATAAAATAGAGTTGATTTTTAAGCCCAGCTCTATATGAGACAAACTCTTTTTTTCTGCTGTTGTTTGCTTCAACATTTTTTTTCACTAAATGCTGTTCAGAGGCTGAGGGAGGAAAAGAAGGAGGAGAGAAAAAGGAGGGAGCTTGAGCGGAAGCGAATACGTGATGAAGAGCGCCGCAAGTGGAGGGAAGAGGAGCGGAGGAAACGAAAGGAGGCGGAGAAGATGAAAAGACTTGAGAAACCGCTGGAGAATAAAGACAAGGAGCAGAACAAAGAAGAACCCAAAATTAAGGTATGTGCTGCGGAGCAACAGTGACTCCTAGAAGCTGCCGTCATTTAAGTGTGTTGCTTCCTTTACTTTCAGCTCCTGAAGAAGCCGGACAGAAATGAGGATGGAGATTCTGAAAAACCCAAGGAGAAGTTCAAGAAACCGGAGAAGCCACATAGAGAGGACCGACCCTCAGGGGGCCCTGATCACAGGAGGAGGCAGAACTTAGGCAGCAGGGAGGATCGAGAAAGAAAGTCAGTTAGTCCCCATTTCTTTTCATTTGCCAAGATCAACAGCAGTAACTGAACAGAATGTGGTGATTTTTACCCATAGAGGATATGAAGATGGCCGGAAGGAGTTCAGAGAGCGTGATTTGGAGCGAGAGAAGGAGAGGGAGCACCGGCAGAGAGAGAAGGAGCGCATCCGACGGCAGGACGAGGAGCGGCGGAGACGGAGGGAACAGCAGGACGGGGAGAATACGTGCAGAAAACGGGAGGAGGAGCTGAAAAAAGAAAAGGCCTTAGAGAGGAGGAGAAGTGAGAACTCTGCAGACTCCCCTCACTCCGAGAACAAGAAGGAGGAGAGCGGTAAAAGGGAGCGAGTGCGTAATAAGGTAGGAGCATGAGGCTTTCAGGGCGCTGGGATTTTTCTAAACTGCCTATTAAAGTGCTGCTTGTCTGTTTCCGTCAGGACCGGCCCGCCATTCAACTGTACCAGCCGGGGGCCAGGAGCCGCAACCGCACGGCAGGAGGAGCAGAATCTAGCTCTGCCGACCGGAAACCAGAGCCTGATAACAAGAAAGCAGGAGACAGAGGAGATGACTGAGGGTTTTGTTTATTTATTTTGTGTGACAACAGAGGCTCGTGAGGCTCAGAGTCTCAAGCAGCACTGATGGAGCATGGCATCACCCGCCTATCCCAGTCCCCGCGGAAGAGGGTCTGTTATGCCTCTCAGTGCCCGACTGACACCCTGTTTAGTACAGAATTAACTGTAACCGTTTGGAAGGGTGCAGCTGTAGGGCTCAGTAGGTGATGCCAAAGTTTTCCTGGTGGCCTTATGTCATTAATGTCGCTCTGGTGGGAAAATGTTTCACTGTTAACATCAGATCAAAATCTGTGTCTCCAAAATAACCCCAGGAACTCCCATATAGCGCTATGCTCTATCAGTTTCACATTCTCACACTTCATTCCCCTGGTTTTCAAAGGTCTGGGTACAATACCTGGTTTTTCAAAAATAAAAAATGAGTCCATAATGAATCCTTAAATGTGACAATTCATGTATCTCTCAGCTGCAGTCATACTAATCTGGTCAGTCAAAAATGTAATAAAGTTTGAGTTACCTGGTTACACAAGTGTGCACACTGAAAATGTTGTTTATGTTTATGCATTTAGCATTCGCTTTTATCCAAAGCGACTCACAAAGATACAGTAATCATCAATATGAAAGGGAAATCCTTAATCAGATTTATTTTCTGTCTTTTTAAAAAAAATAATATTCAGTCTGCTTTCTACATAGTGGTAATATTTGTAAACTCTGCCTCAAGCGTTCTCCTAATCTATTAGATTTTTTCCGCTATTCTCAGGTCAGCTCAAAGATTGTCTGTCAGATGTAATTCTGACCTCTCCATAAAATATACTGAAACTGATATTTGCTGATTAGTGTGCTTCTGTTTTCTCCTTGTAATCCTGCTACATAAAAGCAAATGGAACTGGGGAGATTATAAAAAACGAAACTTTTACCTGAAAATAAAAGAATCCCAGATTCTGATGCTGCCACCCCCATGCCTCATTTTTGGTGCAGTTTTATTTTTGTCTAAGAAAAAAAAGAACAAGAAAAAGAACTTTCAAACGAGGATGGTAAAGTGATGCATGCTGCTCAAAAGGTTTTGGGAGTTTTAAGGCAGACCTGTGGGATTTAGATAAATCCTCCTGCTTTGCAGTGCTCATCCTTAGTCCTTAAATATGGAGAATGTAGGAGAGTTTATTTTGAAAAACTCAATCTGCATTTGTAAGGAGATCCTGCAGCTTCATCAGTTTTGCTGTTGGCTTTTTGACAAATTCCCTAACTGGTTTTCTTTTCTTTTCTTCTTTTATAATTGTCATAAAATTTTATAGTTTTTCTGCTGTTCTACATTTTTGGGATTGCATATTTTTTCCGGTTTATCAGATCACTATTATACATGAGGGAAGTCAAAGAAATTGAAGAAGAAACTGAATTATAGGGTGTTTCAAGAAGGTATTGGTTAAAGGTTAAAGGCGAGTTTTACTCCTAAAGGTTTGTGTTTCAGAGAAATTTAACAAAGACACACTATGTGTCCTATAGTTATTGGAAAACATTTTAAAATGATTTATCACAAACTCTTTAATTTTTTACCTTAAAAACACGGCATTGCATCATGGCATGGGTGTGTGGACTTTCTGAATTTGCTGTTCTTCACAGTTTGTCTTTCTAATTTCATGAGCTAAACAATATAACTTTTTTTTTCTTTGCTTGCTCCTTAATTTTCATTTTATGCAATTAATGGCTGAGAAAGATATTTTAAACCACACTGCCATGTGAGATCTGTGCTTGCTTTGCATTGTTCAGTGGGATCCACATGTGGCCTTAAATTGGAGAATCACTTTTAACATGATTTATCTGTAAAACGAGTGCAGTCTTAGGACAAATCATTGCTGGTAGTACTAATAAAATGACTTTTTTTGGGAAATAAAAATATTTGCTGAAGTCTGTTTTTACTTTGAACTGTTGCCTGCCTCAAATTTTATTTTTAAGTTCTTGAAATAGAATTGAACATATGACATTTTAAAATCATCAAGTGCTTCAATATAAAAATAAGTTTAGAGAAATACTGTTTGTATGCTTTGAAAAAATCAGCTAAAAACGTTAGAGAAAAGTAACTGCCTAGTAGTTCGTTTTATATGGTGATTGGAAGAATTACCATTACACGTGTTTAATAGATCAATATATCATTTTATAGTTTTAACGTAGAAAATTTTGTGTAAAACCAAGGAAAGCATTCTTCCTACATTTCCTCCGGTGACCACTTGATGTCACTGTTCCCTGGCAGCCTACTCCATAAACCTGGCTACGTCACTTCCTTCTTTCTCTTCGACCACCGCCATAGTGGTGAAAGGATTGTGGAGAAAATGGTAAATATAAAATCGTTAAACATCCATCTCAGCAGGGCTCGTAATCCCAATCTGACACTCGAAACAAATAATAAGTTTTATATTGTTATTTAAAGTGTTAGTGTTGTTTTGTAAAAATTTGTAGATAAGGTATTTAAGTTCACAATAAAACGGTCAAGGCATGCTAGCTCAGAACTTCCTTGCTAACATAAGGCATATTCAACCTAAGACGCTGAGTTACAAATTAAAAAAGTGTCACTGACTTGATTATTGGGTATTTTTTTCTGTCCCAGTCGTCCCACAAGACTTTCAGGATCAAGCGCTTTCTGGCCAAGAAGCAAAAACAGAACCGGCCGATTCCCCAGTGGATCAGAATGAAAACCGGCAACAAAATCAGGTGAGTTTTCACATCTTGTTTCTCATGCTTTAGGTTCGCGGGTTGTGGAGATTTGTTACCTATACTGGCGCTATTATTTTGTTTAGCTAAACAAGATAATCAGGGAAACGTGCAGCACGGCTTCAAGCCGAAAGCATAGATCTACATATAATAGTCTGTGAATGCACATATATGTCCGCGATACATGGTAAACATGGGTTTAAAAATATTCATATGTATTTAGTTGAGTTCAAATTACACCTTTATTATAAACTAAATGTATTGACTATTAGTTGTGCAAAATAACTCTCTCCGCAAGTTGGTTAACTCAAAACATTGTAAGATCGTATATTTTAAATTGAAATATACATCCTGCAGAGCTCATTGATGCAGGATTGAATGCACTCCAATCCTAATGCTAATACCTAAAGCTGAGATGACTGATCAAGTAATAAAAATCTGGAAATTTGGTAGATGATATAATTCCCCCTGTTCACTAATTTCTCTTGTCCTAAATATGGATATGCTTCATACAGAGGTTTATAGCTTTTAAAGTCACAATGTTATGTTTGATGGGCAGTAATCCACAGGGAATTGGGCTACATGTTAGGATTACAAACCGTGTTTAATGTGGACGGATTTACAGCGTTATATTAAAAGGCTTATTTTTAAGTTTCGCAGTGCCGGTTTGTATAAATGAGTCTTGGATTAGATATTCTACGTGTGCAGATGTATTTATATCCATCTAGATGTTGTAGCACCTGATTTTATTATTTTCTAAATAGTGAGATTTTGTTTACTTAAATGAAATGATTTTAATACATTACCATTAAGCATTCTGTATCAGGAACAGCTGTTCATTCTTTTTAACTCAATTATGAATATATTTTTTCCCCGTATCTGACTTTGCCGTGGCAGTCAGAACAACTTGATTCCAATCTTTCCACCTTAAAAAAATCTTTGTGGTTCTTAATCTGATATCTATCTTATAGTTTTAGTGTCTGCAGTCTGAACAATTGTTACCATAACCATCTAGGCTACATAGTTCTATCTGCACAGCAGTCTTGGCCCCATAAATTACATTAACAGTCCTTCCTTTTTCTTGCCTTTCTTCATCTTGTGATGTGATCATAATGTTTGCTCCCATTCAACAACTTAACACTGATGCACATATGTTATTACCTCTGTAAACAGCATGCTGTATGGCGTCTACAGTCCTGCATATGCAGGTCAGGTTAGGGCTGTGGAAAACAGACTTGAGTCTGATTGAGGCTGTATTTAAGTAGTAGTCTGAACTAAAATAGAAATAAGGTATCAAAACCTCCTGTGTGAATGTAGCCATTGATCCACTTGGATCTCTTTCAAAGCCTGTTTCATTAAGGAACGTCTGATAAAACTGAAGCTGGAGTCTAGACGTGCCTGGTCTGCGTTAAAGGCGGTGAGACTAGGGCTCTGTGTTTCATTGTTTTTTTTTTGTCCATTCTTCGTTTTCTGATTGTCAAGATTTAGAATCTGTTTTTGGTCCGGTCTGATCTGTTGTTGGTTGGATGGTATTAAAACATTTTTTAGCTGTTACCTGAATTACATGACTATTTATAAAACACATTGACACCAGTATATTAACTTTAAACAGCAAATGAAGTAATGGTCGTTAAAAGATGGTTGAAAACACTTTTTAGAGTTTTTGAATGATTTTTTTTTTTTTTTTTTTTTTTTTTGGTAATAGCTTGATTTTTAGGAATTGAAATCAGAATTAGAAACTTAATTTTTAACAGTCTTAGTTAAAAAGTGTTTCCCTCTAAGCATGTATACCTTATAAAATTCGGTTCTCCATTCTTCTGTTGAATTCTTGGGGCGTTTGCATTATCATAATGCTTAGTAATGCGTGGCTAATGGATAATTAAAAAAGTAACTGTATAATTTAAAGCAGGTCTGCAATTGCAGCTCTCCTTGTCTGTAGAGTGCTGTCATTAACCCTGCTGAGAGCATTTTCTGCTGCCGCACTTCACTCCTCCTCATTGGAATGATGCTGAGGAAGCTATGTAGCTGCAGGACAGCTACTACTGTTTCTGTGCCTGAATGATGCATCTCCACACTGATCTATGAACAATTCACAACATGTTATATTTCATGAATATATATATTTCAAATTATGTTCATAACATGGTGATATAGGGAACTGAAGCTGTGTCAAGAGAATTTACATAATTTGAAATTAACTTTCTGCTCAGTCTTTTTTTTTTTTTTTTATGCTCCTGATTTGTAGATATACATTTGGTTGTTTTATAAGAAGTTCAAGACCTACAACTGTTTAGCTGACATTGTTTTGAGATGGTTTTAACATTTTAAATCTTTGAATTTCAGGTACAACTCCAAGAGGAGACACTGGAGGAGGACCAAGCTCGGCTTGTAAACATGATGGCCTGTGGATCCAAGCCCCCCCACATCCTGACATCTGCCAGTTCCTCCAGCTGCTTGGCCTATTGGCTTTAAAGGGAGCTGCAACATCTGGAGCAGCATTTGTTTTGTACAGATACCTGGCTATGCTCATGTTTCACAATAAAAGATCATTGATCACATTTGAAACACAGATGTCTGATGGTTCTTTATGATCTATGAACTATTTCTATAGTTCACAGGGATATCTTTTAGTGCAGGAGTCTTTTATTCCAGTCATGGAGGATGCAGTGTCCTGCAGCTTGGAGTCTGTGCTTCCACACACCTGAATAAATGACTATAAATTATTTGTCATTTAAATAAATCTTGCTTTAGAAAATATAAAAGCCTCTAAAAACATTGGGAAAGTTTATTTTCAATATTTAAATGGTTCTTAAATTCTCCCCACTTCTCAGAGGTGTGGACAAGACTTTTTGGTTTCATGTCTTACTTCAAATAACTTGGTTTATGGCTACCTAAATGGGTTAGGACAATAGATCCATAGAGCGGGGATACTTTCTTAATGCAAACCCAGTCAGATAAGCTGGTTTTCTGAGAGATTTCTGAACTGAAGCTGTCCTGTTAAGGTTTTCAATTTATTACATCCCTGTCAGATAGTTGAACAAAACTGCTTCAATTCACATAAAAAAAAAAAACTGTTAGTGCTCAGTGTAGCAGAGGGATAAGAAATCACCAATTAGATTCAGTTGGATATTTACTGTCTCCACTTTTTATTAAACCAAGTGATCTCACTCTTCCACTTTCAAAGGCATGACCACAAAATGTCATTTTGTGCAATCCGGGGCAGTCACAGTTTTTCCGTTTGAGAAAGTGCAGCGAATGTGAAATTATTCCAACATGCTATTCCATATAAATTCCTTTACATGGTTAAAACAAACACATACAACAGAACTTTGTAGAAACTAGAAGGGCCGTTTACAGACTGCAAGCTGAGATAGAAATATGGTGAATCAATGCTTTGAGTGGCATTTCTCATTAGGAACCAGTAATTATAAAGGTTTTATTTTTGTTCCAAATAACTAAAATTTGGTTTGAAATCCTTTCAAGTTAAAGCTTTAGAAAAATTATTTTATTCATGCTCCCAAGAGTCATATTTTGTACAGTCTCAGCATAGTTTCTTTCAGTATATTCAGGAGGTGTTTCCAAGCATAAATTGCTTTTTATTTTTAACAAATCAAATGAGCATGGACAACAGCATCGGCGTCGCCAGACCCCATTTACTGGGGCACGTGCCCCAGTATAAATGAGCTGTGCCCCAGTATAAATCTCATGAATATTTGCAACAGTATTACATTTTTTTAATGCATCAATTTAGATAATTCCAACGGAAGGAGACGTATATTTCTACTCAAATGCGCAGCAAGTGTGTTGGTAACTCCAAATTGAGGACGTATTAGCGCCCCCACGTCAGCGCATGTCACTGCATGAACTGCAGGTAAACTAACGCGCTGCTCTCACTGAGTTGGATGGGACACTGTGCGGCCACGACGCATTTTTAGTTCTGGTAACGTTTCTTACCTGTCAATTTTATTATTTTCCCAGTGAAACCACATGATTTATAGGCTACTAACTGAAAATTACTGCATTGGTTTGTAGATGGATGGATATCAGGAAATTCCTCACATCGCAGTAAAACAAGATGAGAGAGGGAGGTAAGGTCCCATGATGAATTAGTGATTTAAGCTAAGCAGTTACATTAGGGACGTTATAAGCAATATGATAGATATTTACATAATTATAAATTTATGTTTTTTTATGTTTGCTGTAGAGAATGAGAATGCAGGAGTAGGAAAGGGAGGAGGAGGCGAGACTGACAGGCAAGAGACAGGTGAAGGACAGGAGGGACAGGACCATGAAGGTGATGAGGGAGCAACAACCAGCGTCCACAAACAAGAAGGGGACATTAGTGACTTAGGGGGAAAGCATGATGGTCCTAAACAAGTGAAGTTGTCCCACCATCCCCAGCACAAATTTGGAGTAAAAAAACGTTCATTTAATTCAAAATGGTTTGAAAGCTTTTCCTGGTCAAAAAAGAAAGCCTTGTCATGAAGGATATGCAGTGTGTTTTCAACTTGCTTGATAACACCATGTTCCCAACATTAACACAGGTCATCCAGATCTCCCTCACAATCCCAGTCTACAGCTGGAGTTGTGAAAGGTCATTCAGTGTGTTGAGAAGGATCCACACTTGGCTGAGGTGCACAATGGGACAAGACAGGCTCCATCATCTTGCTATTTTATCAGTTGAAAAGGAAGAACTTTCTAAGCTGAGTCACAGTCTAGTTATTTACCACTTTGCAAAAATGAAAAATAGGAGGTACACTTTAATGCTCAAAAAATAAAAGGAAAACTTAGTTTAGGATGAGTTAAAATTTCCCCCGAACTAAAACTCTGAAACCTAGGAATTAATGATTACTTCAGAATGTGTATAAGGAAACTTTTTATTTGTCAAAGTTGGTGATGTCTTATTTGTTATAGCTGCAATGTTGAAAATGTTCATGTTTGTTAAAACAAATATGCTCTTATACTCATTCATATCTCAATTGGTAATTTGGGTAGGAAGGTATCAGGGTTGGGAAGTGTGCTTGTCTGTATTTATGTATGGAAGGAGGGGCATATGCATTAGGGGGCCAGTGCCCCAGTAAAGCTTTGTGCCTAGCAACGCCCCTGGACAACAGTATCTGCATACATCTTTGTTTCAGTTATTTTGAAAAGTGGTTTTAAAGGATAAAAGACAAATTTATATAACAATTCCATTTTCATGTCCTCTATTCAAAACTAAATGTTTCAATGAATCTTTGTTTATAAATCTAATCTAAAATATCCAATTGAACCAACTGTGAGCACAAATGTAAATGTGGTTGACAACGACGTTGAAGATATTTGATCTGTTTGGTATATTTAACCTACACAATTAGGCTGGAGGTGTTGCTTCAGCCTGCAACATATCTCCTTACAAGGTAGGAATGATCATACCAGTAAAAATTTACTTTTTACAAATTCATCTCATACAAACTTATCGAGATTCTAGATGTTAATTTAATTTGTGGTGGCAAAGAATAATCTTTGAGGAATAGATTGGGGAAAAAAAGTTATGTTTAAACAATAGGGTCCAGCAAACATATTTCTATTAAATGTTTTATGTTTTTCCTTTTGAAATCATTACTGGTTCTGGAGAGAAATTGTAATTTTATATATATATTATGGACTGTTCTAGACAGGGGTCAGCGGGGGCCAGCGCCCCATATTGAAAAGATACATGGCAAAAACTGAAGTATAATAAAGTACATTTTTCTTAAAATAAGAGCATTTTCCCTTGATGTGACCAGGTACGTTATACAATTTGCAAATGAGTTAAGATGATTTATATTCATAAATATAAAAAACAAAATATTAAAGTGCATAATATTAATTTTATTTATAAGAGCAATAATATCCAATCCTTTGGCAGATCATAGTAATCTGCTCAAATTAATGGTAAAATGTTCACTTTTTTTTTAGTAAAATTATGTACTGTTACAAGAGACCACAGATATTTCTCCAGAGGTGTACCCAGAAAATATTTATAAGGGTGGCCAGGCAATAACCAATGCACACTGAGGGGTGGCCAGAAGTGGATAGCGACAGAACCAAAGGGTTAAGATGCACTGTTCCAACAGGAAAATTAATGAGCAAAAAATACATATTTTCTAAATGAAGACAAACTATCCTTTCCTGCAGCCTTTGCTAACAAATAGACGGATATATAATGGATACAATTCTTTCAGGTTGAAGTTCTGGGGCCAACATCTTTTCCATTATTACTTTTTTTTTAAATCAATAATCATTCTGAAAAAAAATATTTACAAGTAAAAGTATCTACATAAATTGATTTAATACATTTTTATCAAAATAGTTATTTATGATTTCACTGAAGACTGCTAGATGACTTGCAGAAACAATTTTCTCTTTACCCCCTATAACACAAAATCTAGTTCTGAAAAGAGCATAAATGATGTACTTTAATTGCAGTATAATTATGTGCATAATTAACCAGTGTCATTGGTGTCAAGTAAATGTTAATATATGAAAAAAATGGTAGGGGTGGCCAATGATTGGCTTAGGGTGGCGATGGCCCCCCATCTAGCTCCGCCCCTATTTTTCCCTTGAACCAATTTTAATATTTCCCCTCTACAGTCGCAGTGTGCTTTAGGATTCAGTCGTACCAAGATAGACATTCTGACTCATTTAATACAGGCCACTTTAAGTTTGTTTTATTTTGGTTCTGGAGCCACCCTGTAAATTTAACTGACTATTCTCAGCTCTTGTTCCCAGCAAATGAAAAGGAAGGAATCAGCTTCCTTAAAGAGCCAAATCTCCAACTGCCTGCCTTTGCTTTGCCAAAGTCTGTCAGCTCCTCTGGTTCTCCAGCATCCAGCTCCTCACATGGTGCCAGGTTCCCAGCTCCAGAGCAGTTGTTATTCCCATTCCTGTTCAAGTGCTCGCCGCAGCTGTGCTCATCGTCCCAGGTTCCCAGCAGCTCCTTCATCTCCAGCGGGGCGTCCTCCTTCAGGTACTGCCACGGTCTCTTACCGCTGTAGTCCATGGCGTCCACGTCGGCTCCGAAAGCTCCCACCAGCAGCTTGATGACGGCGAAGCGGCCGTGCATGCTGGCGACGTGCAGCGGGGTCAGGCCGCCGCTGCCCCGCATGTTGACGTTGACAGGCACCGCAGCTCGCTCCGCGAAGCGCAGCAGCTTCAGCATCACCTCGTCCTGTCCTCTCTTTGCCAGCCAGTGCAGCACCGAGTATCCGCTGATGAAGTCCTTCCTGCTCAGCAGGTGAGGGTCCTCGGAGAGAAAGTCCAGGATGGTTTCATAGTTCCCCTCCACCGCTAAGAGCATCCACGCGTGCTCCATGGGGTATAGAGCCCACTCTGTGTCCTCCGTGGACAGGGTTTCCACGCTGTTAAATGAGCTGCTGAGGAGCAACTCTTTCAGATACTTTTTCCGCAGAGCCGGTGGCAGTGAGCCCCTCTCCGGAGCGTCTCTGTCGGCATGAAGCGCTGCTGGAGCGGAGCCATCGCTGACCTCTGGCTGCCTCTGCAGCCTCCTACGCTGGGACGCTCCGGGCATGACCAGCATGCCGTACCGGGACAGCCGCTCCACAATGGACCTGTGTTTGGCTGTCCGGCTGCCGGGGGTGGCAGCTGGTTCCGATCCACTGCCCTCCATGCTGCCGCCGCCTGGTTGCACTTTCCAGAGCTACTTCCCTTTAGACTACACCCTTAAGATGTCTCAGATTATCAACTCCAACTATTTACTGAACTCATTTCCTGTGTACAGAGAAAAATGCACATTATTCCATCGTTTGGAACAAGAAAAAAAAAAAAAAACAAACCTACAAATACAGTAAAATTTTTAGATTCTTGTAATCATTAAACCTCCCCTTTATAGTTGTCTATATAAGGTTAACTCACCTGTCCTGCCAAGATAAAAGACGCACCTTCTCCGTTTGATCAGGTTACATTTACACACAGATAAACAGCCAAACATAACACTTTATTCTGAGTTCAGAAACCAGCAATCTTACTTTCCTTTGTAAAGAGGAACTGAGACAAAGTTCACTCTGATCTATTGCCAATAGCAAGAATCCCTCACATGTGACCACTGGTGGACTTTAAAGCAGGAAGTGACAGTGTATTCCCTGACATTCTCACAACATAAAGAGTTACAGACTGGTGATAAAGAGGTAAAGCAACTTTATTTAAACAAGAAAATTTACAAATGAAACAAATTAAAAGTCTGATTCTGAAGGAAGCTCAATCAGCTCATCAAGGGTTAGAAGAAACGCAGCCAGCTCCCCGCAGTTATCTGAAAATGAGGACAGTCGAGTTAATGATATTCTTCACACTTGTATGTCAGACTTCAAGACCTATCATTTCAACTCAACCATTTCATTAAAGGATTAGAATTTAAAGCTTTTTTGTTTTTAAGGAGTCCCAAGTCATGCATTAAGCACAACAGTTGTTTCCATGAATTCATAAGTCTTCACATTTACATAAATGGTTAACCCTTAAATCCTTAGATATTCAAACAAAATTAAAGCCATAGCCACAACTTTCTTAAATTATCAATTCCATAATATGTACGGAATATCTAGAAGGTGCAGAGTAAAAAAGTGAAAAAAAAAAGTGAAAAAAAAAAAAGTATACACACACACACAATATAACTTCTACATTTGACAAAGGATTCTGCAACAGCAGCAAGTAGAATAAAGTCATGCAGAGCTTAGGTGTGAAAGATTGTAGTAACTAGGACTGGGCAATTGAATTTGCAATATAACTCTCAATTTTCAAATACATTTGAAACCAGAAGCATAAGCGAGAGACCTGGACTTGTCCAAGAGACCAATATCAGACAAGAAGCAGCCGTTTTGGAGTCTTGTAATAGAGTGGTGGTCCTTAGTTCCAGTTTTGACAAACATGTGCATTTACATTATGCAATGACGCCTCAAATAATAAAACTGTTCAGCTTTCGCAAAGCAGTCAGAGTTCCTCAACTACCTTGGTTGTGTTTTTACTGTTGGCTGCATGAAAAGGAAACTAGGAGCTTCAATTTGGAATTAGCCATCGTCTTTGGCAGGCTGCACTTCAGCTGCAGCAGGACGTACATCCTCTTTTGTGCTTACTTGGTCAGCCCCAACTTGGAAGACAAGCAATGGTCGCCCCATCCTCCACCGTTTTCAGAGCTCCAGGTCACCAGATGATCAATACCCCACCCATTGGCAGACAGATCTCTGCCAGAGATCAGCACAATGTGGCGTTGTCTGCAAACTTTAGGAGATTGGCGGACTGGTTGCTGAAGGTTCAGCCATTTGTGTATGATGAGAGGACAAAGAACAGCCTCTAGGGGAACTGATGCAGTTGGTCCTGAAGTCAGAGACCTGTTTTCCCAAATTCACATGCTGCTGCCTGTGCTCCACCTACAGGTGGATTCAGGCACACTTCTCTGCAGCAGAGCAGGGATGATGAAAGCAGAGTTGAAGTAAACAGGAGTCTGGTGAGCCCAGAAGGTTGTTGCACAAAACCCCAGAAATCAGATTAAGCTGGGATTTCAGAAATCCTGGCTTAATTAGGCCTCGCCTTTACAAAGACAACACAAGTTACCATGGTGATTTACTTTACATAGCTAGTCTGCTCCAGACCAGCATAACTTTGTAAATCCTAGTGCCTCATCTGGTCGGTCAGCCTCATGCTGTTCAGAAACCAAGGAGTTTTTTGCAGAGCTTTAATTCTGTATGTAGAAATGAGGTGCACTGTCACATAAGAGTGACCCTGAGAAGCGGGGGAACGGTGAAATAGGCACAATGACCTGGAGTCTTCTTGCTGGTTGGATAGGTTGTAAGACACTTTTATGAGTTCTTGTCTGAGGTTTGTTAAAGTCAAAAAAGGACAACAGGGGAGTCAGTGTTTAAAGTTAAAGGAATCTTAATATGGTTTTGAGTCAAGTTATTCCAGATCATGAAAGAGTTTAAATGGGTGCATCAGGTGCTGTTAAGGTAAAAAAAACAGCTACATCCACACAAAGCTTTTTGTCACAGTTGACTATGAACAGCAGAAAGCTAGCTGGCTGCTGTAAAGTCTGGCATTTGTTAGACAGCCAAGTCTCTGTGGCATAGGTCAGAATACAATTCTCTGATCATCTCAACCAGTAGCTCAAGTTTGTTGAACATAAATTGGATTGAAATTTATAGTGCATGTGAAATCCCAAGAAGAGATGTAGAAGTGACCTCGTTTTATTCCCCTCTCCTGCAGAGGTTCACAGGATAGAAAGCAGCAAGTGAACCCCAATTGTCCAATAATTCCACTGGCGACATGAGAAAAACTGGGAAATAAATCCACTTGTGACATTCCAAATTTTCACAAGATCCAGGAATCACAAAAACAAGCACACCTAGAACCATTTTTATATTCTGGTGCATGAGATAGTATTCTATTAAATCATTTTCCATTTTATCAAATCAGTTTGTGATCATTTTGAATATCAATAAATCAGATCAATTTTTTCTTTACAATTTATGAACATGAGCAGTAATATTAAGTTGCTACCTGAAGGCTCTGGCATTTTCACAGGCAAGGGGTTTGAGAGTTCTTCCAGCTTTTCCTCATCCAGAGCTGGAAGGTTGTGGGTAAAAGATGCCAATCCAGGTAGAGCCAGGCAACTAAGAGGAACCAAATCTTCTGGTACACTGTACTTCTCAAACTCTGAAATACACAAGGTTAGGATTTAAACTAGACTGGAACTGTTATTTCTATTCCATCTGTTGGCTGAAGGAAAAGTCTATGGTAGTCATTTCTACAGGGACCATGCAAAGTGTTTAGTTTAGAGTTTAAACAAAGGTAGATTGTATCTGAAGTTACCAGAATAAGCACAACCCAAGGGAGCAAAAAATATGAAAAATATAATGTAAGCCTAAGCTAAGCTGTGTTTTTAATTCAATGATCGTCACATGATTTACTGTGTTTTAAGGTGGACATCTGCCTGCAGGATCACTTTACACTTTGTTAAAGTAGCATATGAACAAGCACTATTATAGACAAAAATAAAAGTATCATTGCAACATTTTAAAAAAGATCTCTGAAGTTGAGATTAAATATGCAGACTATTGTGGTTTTAAAGACTCTTGGGAGACTAGCTCCTCAAGAATTTGTTAAAACCAAAGTAGATTGACCAAGTAAAGTCTGAGAGGCGACTAGTTCTCATCAGAAGCACCTTCAGACAGGCAGTATTCTATTAAGCCTTCAAAACACCTGCTGTTATAAGTGATTATCCTTTAAAAACTTCAGTTAATAAACAGCCACAGCAGCTCCTGCAATCTCATATGAATTTTGGATTCATTTTATGACTAGTTACATGAACTCACACATTGTGTTTTGCCTACCTTGACTTATTTCTATGACCCAACCCAGGCCCTTGCTGATTACCCATGTACGCCTGGTGTTAAATATATTTTTTGACTTTAGTATGCCCATTTGTAATTGTACAATAACATTCAGGTGTTTGTCGCTTTGCCACCTGAAGGACTAGCGATGGGAATTGGCACCAGCTGAAATCTTCCATATTTACCTTGTGTTCATCAATATGCATTGTCGCTTAAAAAAACCAAAGGAAAAACACAGAAATGCAAATGCAGAGTTTTCTTTAAAGCTGAGGCACCAGTTTACCTAATGGGTCATAAGGGAAGAACTGCTCAACTTCTGGATAGTCCTCTCCTTTGGAGTGAGAAGGCAATTTCACCTTAGTTTCCTGTTTGGAAAAAAATGCATGCTTGTAAATCTCGATACAGGGAAAAGCAAACACAAAAAAATACAATAAAAAATAATAAGGCAGATCCCAACCTGTGGCTTCAACAGTTTTTTCTCCTGTGCATTGACTGCAGGGGTTGAAATCTTGTTCACTGTTCCAAAAGCCCTACGACCAGATGGCAGTGGCGTCGTAATACCTTTAGCAGTCATAGGAGACTTGAGAAGTTTCTCTGGTGGAAAACGGCATGAATAAGAAAGTCGTACTGTTAGCAATCCAAAAGTTGTGAGAAACAAAAACTTTATACCTGGAGCAGACTTGAGTCGTTCCCGCATAAGCTGTGAAGGTGCATGAAGACGGACATTTTCTTGCTCGGCAAAGATTATGTTCTCCATTGGAGCTGAGGAGTAAAAACAAAATCAAAGTGGTTCCCGCTGTAAAGTTTAGAGGCCAACAGCATGGAAAGAGTCAGGCAGCCAGACTAATGCATTTCTCACATGAGAATAGTTTCATTTATAGCCTTTACCATTAAAGTCATGGAAAAAAGATGGAAATTTGCAGACCACAACAAAGTTCACATCAATAAGATGTCCCCCATAAATCCTCTATTATAATGCCGATCGATTAATCTATCAAGTGTCTTTGATTAATCAAAAAAAAAGTTACCTCAAAGGTTTGATATTACAGAATTTTAAACAGGTGATAATAAAACTATGCCACTGGAGGAGTTCTGGGTAGAAAAGTTTTAAAAGCCACATGTTGTGTTAAGTTAAAACCTAAGTCTATCAATATAATTCATTACACAAACAAGATTTCCCAAGCAATATTATAATCTTTCATACTATGGTATATCAAACTAAAACAAAACCACCTTTAAGTTAAATAAAAAACACAAAGTATTGCTGGCCAGCTGAAATCTCGTGTGATATAAACGCTATTATTCTTTGAGGCTATTCATGTATTTCAGTAGAACTAGTTGTTTCCTTGTGGCTTTCAGCTCATTTACAAGCTCTAAACGTCCACCAGCTGACTAGCAGTTAGAAGCAGTAGACAGTTCGCATGTAACTTTAAAACGAAATTAACATCTAGCAGACTTAAACAATATAAAGAAGTTAATAAAAACAATGAAACTGTATGATAAAGTATAAACCTTTACGCCTCTGTGCTCGAAAACCCGCGTCTGCTTACGGCTTGCCTTCTGCTGTTGATTGTTGTGATACAAGAACGTGTGTCGCTTCCAACAACCGCGGCTTGAATTTAAATTCGTTGTCTTATTCCTATTGGTCGCTCTTGGACAGGTGACTAAAAGGCGTTCCTATAAATACTTAGCTTACCCGGCTAAAATTGAATTATCAGTGATTTGATATTCGTTATTTATGCCTACGTCTCGCCAGGCATGCAGACTTTAATCAGGTATATGTCAGCAGCTATGGACGCTTCATGTTATACGACGTTGCAGCAATAAAAATATGAGTAAATTGACCCGAATTTTAGCTATTTGTTGTTGCTAATTTCCGTTTGAAACGTTTCACTGCCCATTTCTCACCAGCCGTAACCACCTTGTCCTGGGGGGCGCGGAGGATGACATTCGATGGCTTTTCTTCCTCATTTTCATATAATTCAACAGGAAAACTTTTATATTAAAACATAAAACAGCACACATTAAATTCTACTAAGAAATTGTTAAATTATTCACATTTCTTTCTATTTTTACCCTGTGTGTAAATGGCTCCGATAAATGGTACGTTCCAAACAGGCCAGCTATGAGTATAACCTAAACGGCGCAGCCTCTTTGGCTAAATCCAGAGCGGTGGAGGGTTTATTCTCCAGCTAACAGTTCTCACCATGGCGTCTACTGAACTAGCAAGGCAAGCTGTAAGTTCCCCGCTTTACGTTGAGGTTTTCTCCGTTTGCAAAAATAAAAAAATAACTGATTGAAAAAATGCGTATTATTTGATTAGGGAGGATACCAGGGAAATTGTTATTTTGCTAACATCCGTTTTCGTGCTTTATTCGACTATAATAGCTAGGTAACCGTTGCTCGGTAATTTTACATTTTAGCTAACCTAAAACGTATAGCATAAGCGATTTACTGCAAAAAAATAAAAATAGGTGCATCTACTATTAAAGCGTTCTTATTTTATTAGTTTTACTCGTTTACGTTTGAAGTGCGGCTATATATAGCATAATTATTTCCAAACAAAATACAGACGTATACTGTACGGGTAATAATGTCTAAAATACAACGTAGTAAGGCTGTTTGTCGTTAAAAACCTACCTTGAATCAAACGGTAGGCCATTCATTCTCAACGCCCCCGTTTGAGCAGCGCTCATTTCCGTTATGTTGTCTCGAGTCCCGTTAACTTTCATACGGGCGTCGTCCCTTTTTATTTGCATTTAAAGCTACATTTATCGTAGTAAAACTTGCATTTCTAAAACATCCACTTTGCTTTTTTTTTTTTTTTCGTGGAAAATGAAGCCACTTAACCCCAGAGGGTTGCTTAGAATAGCAGAGGCTGTTCTGTTTGATTTCCCCTTTGTGGCCCAATGAATGAAACCGGCTGTGTGCTACTTGGCTATGAGTGTCATGAAAAGCGACGAATTCAGGAATGCTGTGTAATATAGAGGCTGTTTGTCCTGTTACATTACCATCAGTTCCATAAACAGTCATCCAGCTGTTAAAACCCAACTCCAGACATCCAAACAATCCACCAATCCACAACTGTTTAGTACCATCAGCTCACACAGTTATTTTAGATTGACTCCCAGAATATATTTTCTGTCAAAGCCTTTGCCAAATTGGACAACAGCACCATGTAATGTTATCCCACATAATGGCCGGTTTGTCTGAGGTTTAGCCGGTGAAGAGATTTAGCTGTTCTGGCATCTTCTACAAATTCTTCTCTTCCCTACAGCTCGCAATATAAACATAGCCAGCAGAAAAAATAAATCACAGCAGTAAAAAATAGAAAAACACTCACTGAAAGCCGCACATATTTAAAAAGGTTTTTGAAAATTATTCGTGCACTGTTGCACAGTCATGTTATAACAGCAATGTTGAATGTCCTTATTTGGTGTGTCGGGGTTCATACAATAGAACAGACAGTAGCGAAACAGAATAATAAAGCTGAAGTAAAATTATACAACACGCTACAACATAAATTGAAAAGGTTTGTCAGGCCTTTTAAAACCAAATTTTCATGCAATTACAGCTGCAATTCTTTTGGAGCACATCTTCGTCTTTGCAAAATACCTCAAGCTAAGTTTGATGCATAGGAGAGGATATTTCAGTAGAATTTTACAAGTCTTTCCACAGATCTTTACTGGAATTTGTTCATGTCGGGTTTTTTTTATACAGGAGTATTTTGATGCACAGTCAGTGTTTTAAATATCCAGCTCTAAAGGGTTGTGTCCTTTAACGTTTATATTTTTTCATACTCCAACCCATGAATCATCTGGCTAAAACTCACCCTCTTACAATCAAGTGATGTTCATGGTTTAATTAATTGATTTAAAAACATGTTTAAGACCAACCTTAATGCTGCAGCAAATGATATGAAATTGATACCCTTGAACCAGGGTTGAAAGAATCAGATTAATCCATAACTTAAATACTAGTCAACTGATTTGGTAATCAATTAATTGTTATTTGGAGTATAGAGACTGTAAAACTTGCCTTTAATGGACAGCACAGCCAACTTATAACAGTGATTATACCAAAATTGTACAAAGAAATCTATATACATTTTGGATATAGGATAAAACCCCTTTTTGTCCGTCAATACGCTCTAGCCAGAGCTCTTTAAGTGGAAAAGTTTTAGTTTCACTTGGTTTAAATTCAGTAAAAGAAAATCTTAAAGGGACATTTTGCTATCCAATTTCTAATCGAAAAAATAATTTACACATCAATTGATTAGTAAAATGATTGTTAGTTGCAGCTCTACCCTGAAATAACAGATATCGTTATATTTGGGTTTTTATTCCTGCTAGAAATTAAACTTAAGGCCCAGACTTTAGTCTGTTGCAGACATCATCAGTAGCTCAATACTACCAGTAAATCTGAGCTGCAACCCTCTGCCGGCAGGAGAAAAACACCTCCATAGCATGATGCCACCTTTACCATGGTTTCATAGTAGGGGTGATGATGTATGGTGATGATTTTGTGAACAGTATCTGGTTGCAGTGGATTTATTTGCAGCGGGGCATGGGAGTAAATTGGGAACATTCTTTGAAAGGCTTTCATGCTGCAACCACGTTAGGATCTTTTAAGCCCTTCTTAGAATAGCTGTAATAACAACACAAGTCTAACACTTGTAAGTTATTATATCAGGTTAAAGGATAATTCCTCAAAGCGGATGGTAACTTTGGGGTGTTGATGACTGATAACACCAAGAAAAAGTACTTCTTTGGCTATTGTACCTCTGGAAATAGTTTAAAGACCTTTTTTTTTTTTTTTTCTCTTTCACCTCCAAACCATGTTCTTTAAATTGTAACAGTACAAAAACTCCTGATAAGATACATAAAGGTTTTTGGCCGTTGTATGACCAGCTGTGAAAAAGTTTGGTGCTTTTAAATACCTTCAAAATGCAGTGTTTCATCCTCTGAGCTTTTCGTAGTCTGCTATTTATTTTACACCAACTGCCATAACTTTCCATATATGTACTTTGTGGTCTTGAACTGTCTCGGCTGACGGAAGTGAACTGCCTATCTGAAAACAGGAAGTGAATTAAACTGCACCTGAAATCAGTCAATTTCTCTAACAGTCGGTATACGATGGAGGAAGAGGTAATGTCATGAGATGTACATATATATAACTATAATTAATGTGGGAGTTAACAATTTTCACATTGCGAAAAATTCAGGATGTGTACCCAGATGTGACAGCAAGATACCTTAACATTTTTTGTGCAATTTAGGGGCTTAAAACTGCAGACGGTAAAAGATCTGTTTTGTTTCAGGGCGAAGGGGTCCGCGCTGTACCTCTGGCAGGCCATGTTGGCTTTGACAGCATGCCTGACCAGCTGGTCAACAAGTCTGTCAACCGTGGTTTCTGCTTCAACATCCTCTGCGTTGGTGAGTGTTACAAACCTTTGCATGCTATTATATCAGCTAGCATTAACATCAGGTAGTTGTTTCCAATGAGACATAACAGTAGACTTAATGGACATGCCGATAGCCTCTGTTTTAGTTACAACAGTAATTAAGATTCTCTCCATTTTGATAGAAAGCTCTACAGGTAGTATGCAGATAAGCTTCTATTGCATAGATCATTATTAGATCATTCTTTTTGGTTGCTTTTGCAAAGCTTGGTGCTGGTTATTCAATATATTTAACACTCAAAAGAACATAAAACGGACATTAGATGTCCATGGATAAGTTTTGTTTCCTTAATTCACAGCTGTTTGGGAGCGTTTGGTATTTAACTTTGTATTTTGTTCTAGTTCTTTGCAAGAAAATATAATAACTAAAATATAATTGAAGCGGGCTCATATGCGCATGTATAACCCTTGATTAAAGGGATAGTTCGGGATTTTTGACATGAATCTGTATGGCATCCCCATCACCAGTGTCATGCAATCACACTGACTTACCCCTGGCAGCGTCCTGTGAGCAGAGTTCTCGTCCAGCTTTGGTCAAGCCGAAAGTAGTCCGGCAGGTTTGCTAGACCAAGCGAAATAAAACGTTTCTCTTCCCAAAACATTATGTGTTCAAAAGAGCGATATTTTTGCATCCCAAAAACATTGTAGTGGAAAAAGTCACACGTCGTTATCACTTGGTCCTATTTTCTCTCTGTTCGTATCAGTGCGCGCCGTCATTCTGACAACGAGCTCAACAACAGCCAGATGCATGTCTCCCTCCGCCTAGCTAGGAGCTAGGCGGAGCGAGACATGCATCTGGCTGTTGTCAGGTTAGTAGGCCCTAGCTGTCAGGTCATGGTGTCGCGCGCACTGATACGAACAGAGAGAAAATAGGACCAAGTGATAACGACAGTCAGAAGACATTATGTAGAAACAGTTTTTATGCCTGTAAGCATCTAAAACTTAGGGTCTTAAACCTGCATCCTGGATTTATTCCTCACTTCTGGTTTTGGTCTGAATTTCTTGAAATGGTTTAAAGCTGAATCAATGAGCCTGCATCTTTGATTTTTTTTTAATAGAAGAATTAGAATAATAGCAATTGGTGCTTTTCAGAATAAAGTGTGAGCATGACGTTTTATTCTCTTCATCTTATATTTGCTATTCAGGTGAGACGGGTCTGGGTAAGTCCACTCTAATGGACACCCTGTTCAACACCAAATTTGAGGGCGAGCCCACCCAGCACAACCAGCCTGGAGTGACGCTCAAATCCAACACCTACGAACTGCAGGAGAGCAACGTGCGCCTCAAACTGACTGTCGTCAATACTGTGGGCTTCGGGGATCAGATTAATAAGGAAGACAGGTAAAGTGGTCTGGACTCTTGTGTCTTTGAGCTTGTTGTAGAATACAGGGATCCTTTAAGCTACTCTTTGATCAGAGCTGAAGTGAACCTTGTTCATTCAAGAATGAACATACAAAGGTTGAGGGCACTATGAGCTTTCAGGTTTGAGCTCAGGCTGGGATTTCAGTAGTTTTATATTTTAAGGTGCTATCCTGGCTTACATCAGATGGATATCACAACCCCAGGACAGCTGGGATACGCCTTGGAGCTTTTGTTACCAAATATTACCTGCAAACAGTCACTACTCACTTTGCACCCTGGGGCTGTGGAAAGTATCATGTGAACACATTATCTGCAACTGCATCCAGTCTTTGCTTTGTTCAAGTTGTTAGTTTCAAAAGAAATGACCTGCATCATATTAAAGCAGAGCAAACCTGTGACCTGCAGACTGCTGCAGGACAGGTAAGATATTATGACTTTACTCCTTGGAACATGAGATCAGAGTTCCCTCATTTCCATGTTTAAAATAGGCTATTATGAAGAAGGAATAAGAAATTAAATTTATTCTCATCAAGAATGTTACCCAAAAAGGTTGGTTAACTATGTCAATATAATTTATTTTGGGATTGAAGGTTATTTATAATAACAGTGTTAACTGTCAGTATTATGACTACTGGGTGCTTTCTGGGATAATCATTGTAGTTTTATTATTTTCATGAATACAATTTCAAAGTACAATGTAAACTTGATCTAGTTGCTACTTTTGAAATGAGTAGTTATTTTTAATACTGCCACTAAAATAACACAGCATGTAGATTATCAGATTAGATTAGGAACATTTTCTTTGTTTTTCAGCTTTTTTTATTATTATTTTATTCAGATTTAAAACTGTTGCATTACCAAACTCTTAATAAAGTAGCAGTTTCTGTAGCCAATTTCCGCCATGCCACAGTAGTAATTGAATCATTACCTGGTGGGACACAGAATCTAAAATATGCCATTCGCCCAAAGAATAACCTACTTGTAACAAATATAAACTATGAGCTTCTATAAACATAAAATATATGCATTGATTACATTAATGATACAATTCTTTATGTGTATATTTGGATGTAAATGTATTTTGAAATGTCTGTTTATTTGGAAATGCTGAATTACTAAAAGTATCTTTTGTTAGATTAATCGTAAAAAAAATAATCAATAGATTTTCCAATTACCAAAAGAATTGATAGTTTCAGCTCATATAGACAGGTTGCTTGTAGTTTACCTTCTGGTGGAAGGGTTGGGACTTTTTGTTTTGTTTTTTCTTGTTACACTCTAAAAGTTTTAAAACAGCCTAATTGTTTTTCATTGATGCTTAGAGAATTGTGTAGAAGTTGACTTTTAGCCTTCTTGTTTTACTCAGGGGAAGTTTAGCCTTATTCTTCCTCCATCCAGCTGTAAAAATATTTTCTGCACCAGCAGTTGATGTACCTCAGTTATCTGCCTGATGTCTAGTAACAAAACTTTAAAACTTTGCTTTAAAAAAATGTGCTCATGGATTAAAACAGAAGCTAATCTTCAGAAAATTTGTCTGTTCTTTAAAAATGTAATTTCATAGAGTTAATCAGGAGTAATTGTAAGAAGCTGATTTAAAATAAAAATGTTTTTTAAAAGATATTTATTTTTAACATAGAACTTTTTGTTTGTTGAACTGATCAAAGGCTTGTTTTGTTAAACAAAACATGTTTTCTGTTGATTCAGAACTGTCTTAACAAAACAAACACTAACGAAACACTGAATGGCTTCTCCATCCTTCTCCCTGTACAGCTACAAATCCATTGTGGAATTTATCGACACCCAGTTTGAAGCTTACCTCCAGGAGGAGTTGAAAATCAAGCGCACCCTACACAGCTACCATGACACCCGCATCCACGCCTGCTTATATTTTATCGCCCCGACAGGACACTCGCTGAAATCCCTGGACTTGGTGACGATGAAAAAACTGGATAGCAAGGTGAGCTTTACTTAGTAATGAATCAGATGTAAAACCTTTTAGCATTTTAGAAACTTTGGAAGTAGTTGATCCAACAACTGGTTAAGGTTTGTAAACCTTATCTGACTCATTTCCCTTGATGTGCTTTTCTAAGCGTAGGTCAGTCGTTAAGTGCAGAGAATGCACAGAGAATGCTTCCTCGGTTCTTTGAGCTCTTTCTGCAGCCTATTTGCATGGAGCTCGTTGCTTTTGCACAAAGAGCATGTTTGGTCTCTACCAAAGCAGCTGTGGCTTTCAGCCTGCACTCACATCCGTGTGATCCAGAGCAGCACTTCCTCTCTTTAGCTACTCAGCCTGGGGGGCATTGGAGCTGTTATGCAGGACTTACCCTACATGATATGATGACCTGTTTTTGTTCACATGACCCAGAGCATTCATTGCTAATAGTTACAGGGGCCCACATGCTGTTAAAAAAAAAATAGGAAGAATGTTGTGTGGGGAGAAAATACTATTCCGCTAACTGCTAGATCTAAGGCCAAAGCAGAACAGACTTTACCTGATCTTTTTCTCCCTCCGATATGTCATCCTATGTGATGTATTTGGACAACTTACATAGAATATTAATCAGCCTATTTATTTGCTCTTTTATCTGTCTTCAGTCAAAATGAAGACTTGTTTCCTAACTGTATCGACCTGTTGATAATGATTTTTACCAAGTTTAGGACTTCTTAAGTACAAAATGTATTTTTTCTAGCCTTTTCACTAACCTAGAAACATCCAACCTAGAATTGATGTGACTTTGCTATAAAAGCGCTATTCAATTACGTGTCGAGTCAACTTATCCCTAAGGATTGGTGGATTAGCATCCTTTTTCTTTCCCCAATGTTCGGGTATAACATGGCAAAAGAAAAAAGTCATCTGCAGAAGTGCATCTGTCTGTTGTTTTAACCTGGATGAACTCTCACAAAAACATAGGCTACATCCACCATGCAGGCCTTTGCTCAGTTCCGATTTTTTATTTTTGAGGGGAAAAAAATCTGATTGTTTTCCATCATTGTTCACATTTCCAAATATATGGAACTTGTATGTTATCTCCTGTGTGAGCTGTATTCACACAACTTGATGTCCTACATGTGCAGTAGAGGACGCAATAATGTCCCAAGCGATCGTGCTCTGTGTTTATGGTAGTAAATGTGGATGGTAGTGCTGTAGCGCCTCTAGCAGTCCTTCATTTCTTTCCCAAGCCCAGCCAGTGCATTAACATCTTTTCAAGAAGGTTGACAATAAAGATTCCTCTCCGCATTTTCGTCCGCCATGGTTGCTGTTTTTTCTTCCCGCTTCTGTGTAGCAAAACGCAGAACAATGTTGAGTATCGATGGCGTACAGGTTGGATGAACGCGACCTGGCCGTTCAGACAGAGGTCACATTTGAAAAGATCAGATTCATATTGGATTCAGGACCACATAGCCAGGTGGCCTGGGTCACATTAGAAAAAAATGGGATCTGTGTTGTTCAGACTAAAATGAGAAGATCAGGTTGCATATGCAAAATAATCGGGTTTGGGTCACTTCAGGCTGCAGTGTGAATGTAGCCAAACTTGTCTTTTTGTAATAATCAGGAAGTATAAGTAACTAGCTAATGTCTTCGTTGCTAATTTAAAATGCACTAAAGTATTAAAGTAAATTATAAATCATTTGCCCTCAGAAATGATGGTTGATTTCCCAACATGTTAGAAACCCAGGTGTTTCTCAGCTATGAGATTAGAAGATCTGTTATGTGTTTATATTCCTGCATAGACTTTACAAAAATACATCAGAGCTGCTCTAAATTTGGACTAGAGAAGCAGAGCAGAAGCTCTTTGAGGAGGGGAGAGGATGGCTTTAAGAGAGGCTAAATTTAGCTTGACAACTGGAGTCATGTTTTTTAAACCTTTAATTTCCATCTTCAGGTCAACATCATCCCCATCATCGCCAAATCGGATGCCATCTCCAAAAGTGAACTGGCCAAGTTTAAAATCAAAATCACCAGTGAACTAGTCAGCAACGGGGTCCAGATTTACCAGTTCCCCACCGATGATGAATCCGTGGCAGAAATCAACTCCACCATGAATGTAAGGCTAACTTTTCTACCCCATTTATACGGTTATTAATGTACAGTGCTGTCCGGGTTTGTTCATTTAAGTTTGCTAATATTTTTGTGTTGATATATCAACACTACTCCTGTGATCTTGGCTTGGGGCTGTCAGAGTAGGGAGATGTTTTCAAAGCAACATAATCAGCCGACCCACTCTGCAGGAAGTCAGCCACGTGGTTATCTAGCCGTTTATTAACCATGATGTTTATTCTAACTGACATTCCTACAGTTTTCACTTTGCCTTCTCCTCTAGTAGGTTTACAGATTTATTACATTTTTTTTCTTCACTTGTGAAACCCGTCTAACCCCTCCTAGTTGAGACCAATCCACATTTTCAGACATCTTATGCTGTACACTAACTTTGCTTCCCCTTCTGCTCCTTAGAGCCATTTGCCATTTGCTGTGGTGGGGAGCACAGAGGAAGTGAAGATCGGCAATAAGATGGTGAAGGCTCGGCAGTACCCCTGGGGGACGGTGCAGGGTAAGCTAATGTTACCTCTGTTTCAGGAAGTGACAGAATGCCTTTTGTTTCCACGGAGCTTCTGAGGCAACTTCCTGACTTTATGCTTCTGCTCTGTTCTACAGTTCAGTGTGAACAATCTGTTAACCTGAGTAACATCATGAACTCTATCATCCTCTTACATTTTTATGTCACTAATGGCTTTAGATTGATCTAAATCTTGATCAATCTATAATGAAGAGTTTGTATTTTTGTAAATGCAGCATTAGTAGTTTATAGTTTAAGTTTCTTTAAAGAAGGAAAATCTAATATTTACACATGAAAATAAACTCAACCTTTACTCTAATCGGTTTGGTGTAGCTTGAAAAGGCCTGGAGTATTAAACACATCTGGACCACTTTGGAGAAATAAACAAATAAATATAATATGGAAATATATTCGGATCCCCAGATTGTATTACCTGTCCAGCTCAGTTTAAGTTCTATCCATCCATTGTTTGTTTCAAAGAAAGACTTAAACTTTTAGTCTGATGCCACTTTGTTGAATTTCCAGGCAAAATGTAAAAACAGGGGGTGTGGTTGAAGGAAAGCAAAGAATAAAGGAGTCATTCTTCACCCCTCATAGACAGCAGTGGTTAGCTAAAAATCCCTCTGCTGCTGTGCAGTTTATCTTATCAGTTTTAGATGTAGGTCCTGTTTGGTGACATTGTTGCACAAACTGTATAGGAACTATTAGGACTGAAAAGAGTTTGATAGAAAACCCTAATAGATAGGATAGAAATGTGAAAGCTAACAGCCTAACTACAGTATTAAACACAAAATGGATAACTAGTGTGTGACTGTAAGATACTGTAACCATTACAGGCCTGCTTTAGAGGAAAACTGTTGGTTTCACTTATCTTTTTGGTAATTCTGTAGACACAACAAGTGCAACCCCCAACTGCATGGTGGCCCCATTTCTCAGGGTAAACAAACTGTGAACATTCGACCTGAATTCCTAACCACCCCATAAGCACTACCCCATAACTATCGCGTGTCACTCCCAATGAAGTCTCACTCACAGCTGTGGAAGACGACTTGATTGAAAGTGGGGGGTATAAACGAGAATGGGACATCTTTTTCCCCTCTAACGGAAAAGGAAAGCAGTTGTTGCTATGCAAACACAGTTTAATGGCACAGGTTAATATAACATTAAAAATGTGCCCCTTTCTTTAAAAGAGTAGTGGGTCGTTATCGGAGTTAATGGGCAATAAAAAAATATTGCCGTTAATCTATTCTCACAGTTGGGTTGGGAGCTGGCTCTATACTAATGATGACTTTCACCTTGTTGTTTTAGCGCGGATGAATATTTGGGGGCGAGAACGAATCAGTCTTCCAACCTGTGTAGACCTACTGTGAAATTACCACATTGAATGTGACGTGCTGACATGGATGCGGCTATAAGCACAGCTCTATCAGCCAAGCTAACCAATCTCCTCACTCAGTGGATAGCCTCAAGCTGTCAGCCCAGCAGTGTGGTTGAAGATGATGGGCTCGAGTTGTTCTCCAGGTACCCACAGGTGACCCATCGTACGAACTACCTGTGAGGTGAACTATTAGGAGAAAGCATGACCAGCACGCTGCAGAGAAAGCGCCGAAAAATGAGAAGTTGATCGAGGCGACGTGTGTGTTAGATTTTTGGAGACATTATATTGTGAAAGTGGGACATCTATAATTGGAAATGGGATACTCTATTTTTTGCAGCAAAAACACAGTAACAAATTAGCAAAAAAAAGCACAACTTTTTCAAAATCTTAAGTAAGAACTCAAAGTGATGTGTGATTTTGCAAACAAAAAGTAAATCTTTTCTTTTAAATTCTGGAGGTAGCACACACATCATGAATACCTTTGGCAGAATTCAAATGAGCGATTTTAAATCTAGATTAATTCTAAGATTAATTACATTCTTTTTCATACACTAACTTGTGATTTTCTGTCAGTTTGAAGAAGATGCAGCAAACCAACGGAATTTACATTTGGCGGAACGTGTTTCCTCCTCCAGCAGGCCGCTGTTACACCTGCTCCCGAATTCCAGCGAGCCTGCTGATGCAGACTCGCTATTTAAGGGCTTAATCGTCCACTGGCCCTACCCACTACGTGGTTTGGGGTGGCACTCAATGTGGCTAACCCTCCGCGGGAACGGGCAAACGGAGGGTTAGTGTTTAGGGGCCGGTTTAGGATTGGGCCTCGGACTGTGTCCTAACCTCTAACCCCTTCATCACTATATGCAGTGGGGGCTATATAGTGGACTTTATTGTGAACTCAGTTAACTGACCATTCAGACATGATGACTACTTTTCGCTCGCCACTGGTCACGTGACTCCGGCTCCCCGCACGGTGCCTGCTCCATCTTCATCACTCATATAAATCAGTGTAACCCATGTACAGTGATCTATGTAGGGGTTAGGGCGGAGGTGTGGACACATCTGAGGTGTCAGAGTTTGACAATATTGACAATTTATATGTTCCGTTTTAAACAGACTTGTAAAGTGGAAAAAAAGTAGTAGAAGTACAATCATAAAACAGCATGTCTTCTCATTTTGTATTTGAAAGTTATTCAGATGAGCAGCATTTGAAGTTGTTACACATCTGTCTCAGTTATAGTTGGTAAAGCCAGTCTAAATGAGGCTTGGATCACACAACAGATCATTTTGCTTCAGACTGGCTGCGTTCCCACTCACATGCTGTCACATGGCATAAAACAAACAGAGAAACCCCATAGCCTCAGCCCTTCTCTGCTTTGTACTAAAAGTGTTTAATTGAGCTGGGCTGTTTTGACAGTCCAAGTTCAGTCTGTGTCTGTTCCCTTTTTACACTATTTGCCCACTTTGAATTCCTATTTATTTAGATAGAGTCTGATAGATTTACTGTCTGATTTGTGTTTCTCTCAGTTGAAAATGAAAACCACTGTGATTTTGTGAAACTGCGGGAAATGCTGATCAGAGTGAACATGGAAGATCTTCGAGAACAAACCCACACACGCCACTATGAGCTCTACCGCCGCTGCAAACTGGAGGAAATGGGCTTCAAGGATACGGATCCTGACAGCAAACCCTTCAGGTAACATATGTGCAGGCACATCGGCATCTAGGATTTTTGTTGTTTTTGCTTTCTCCCAACGTCATTTTATTTTCCCTTTGTTTTCTTTTCTTGGACCAGTTTGCAGGAGACTTATGAAGCAAAGCGAAACGAGTTTATGGGTGAGCTGCAGAAAAAGGAAGAAGAGATGAGGCAGATGTTTGTCCAGAGAGTTAAAGAGAAGGAGGCCGAGCTCAAAGAAGCAGAAAAGGAGGTAAAAATAAAGACCACTTTTAATCAGGTCTTTCTCTGCTCTGTATCCCATGATTACGTATTTCAAGGGCAGGGCACTGCCATTTCTTTAATTGTTTAGGTTTCAGATCCACCAGCGTATTGATTAGGGTTAGCCCTCAGTAGAGAGAATAAACCAAAAGTATTACATTAGGTTTAGGTATTTAGCCCGTGGAACTCATAGACATTAATAGACGCCTCATTGGGCGCTGCTGGCAGCGAGGCCGACATGCCTTTAAGACAGCCATCTTGGGTCAGACCATAGTTCACACTCCTGCTGTCAGAATGAATAGGAGGCTCCTTAGATCTCATTTTAATCACATGGGAGACGAGTCGAAGATAATATTACAATAATGTCTTGCATGTCACAACCCCTTTAAATACCAAAACAAATTTTGTGGACTTTTATTTAGATTACTCATATACATTCAGATTAAAAACAATTTTAACTAAAGCCAAACTGGATTAAATGTAAACATGCAGTTATACGATTAAATATTAATTTGATAAAAACAATGTTTTCTATTCATATTTTCTAACATATTATATGAATATTATATATTTATATTATTCAGTAATTTTAAGGATTGATAATAAGTATTATGCTCTATAGTGTAAACTTAGTAGTAATGTAATTTACAAAAGAGAGTAAAGGTATTTAGCATTTTTATTCATTTTATGGTAGTTTTTATTTATTTTTTGTTATTATCAAGAATATTTTTCAAATCATAATGAATGATCTAAAGGGTTTAAGTCCTCATATCATGCTTTATGTATTTATTATTATTATTATTATTATTATTTATGCCAAATGTGAACCTTAGTTTTTTTTTTATTAGTTAATCTGGGTCTTGTATATACACACACCCGAAGAAGGAAGCAATCCTGTTGTAACTGAGCAGATTTTGTTGAAATAATTGTAATAACTACCATATACACACAAATATAGTTCTATATTAGAATATATATTTCTAGTTATATCTATATATTTACAGTTTTTATATATTTTTATGTTTATTGTATAGTTTTATCAATCCTCATCCACATCTTTTTAGAAATCAGGGCCTTTTAAGCTCTATTCTCTACTTCCATCCCTGCTACTCATTTGCACCTCTTCTTTTAACAGCAGAAAAACAGTAACTATGAAACATGCGGATGATGTATCATAAAATCCTCATCCGATGATGCGGGGTTTATTGATGTCTATGCATGTTTCAGGTTTCTTCCAAAACATCTGTTGCTAATTTTAGGCTTTATTGCATTTCAAATAACTTTATTAGCAAAATATAAACAATAGTAATAAAAAAAATTTTTTAAACATCCCTACAAACACCAGTCAGTTTTGATTTATGTAAAAAGCTTGAATTAAAACTTACGGCCTTAAGTTGGGCAGTGCCCTCCCCATACAGTACGGTGCCTTTCTCTTATACTGTTTAGCACCAACTTCCTTTTTCTGATTCCCATGCAGCTGCACGAGAAGTTTGATCGCTTAAAGAAGCTCCATCAGGATGAGAAAAAGAAGCTAGAGGAGAAGAAGAAGAGCCTGGATGATGAAGTCAACACATTCAAACAGAAAAAGACTGCAGCTGAGCTCTTGCAGAACCAAGCTCAGCAGGCAGGGGGCTCCACCACACTCAAAAGGGACAAAGAAAGGAAAAAGTGAGTATTTGTTCCTTCTGATTCCATACCCACACACTAAAGATGTAGGAGATCCAACTTGGTAATGAAAGGCTTCAATAAAATCAGTGTTGGAGCTTATTTATGTTTATACAGTGAATGAAAACTTTCTGCTTTGGTACATCTATTTTAGGGTTTAGGTAGAGGATCAGTGCTCCATTTTACCCTTTGCTTAAACCACTATGTTACTTGTTAAAAGAACCAACACTAATCTAATCTAATTACTAATTACTGAAGAAATGAGAGAGCAACGAAGACACAGAAAAGTCTGAAACTGGAAACTGGCTGAAGGTCAGCTGAGTTTAATGAATGACCTCAAGTCCAAAATGATTAAACTGAAAGCAAACACCAGTGTTCTCCCAAAGCTAAGTCTGTAAAAAACAGGTATTAGTTACTTTTGAATGTATTAAGAATTAACCAGTTTCATACCAACAACATGTTAATGCTGGTAACTAAAATCCTACATATTTTTTTTTCATTAAACTATGGGTTGTATGACAGTTCCCTCTTTCTTTGTCACATATTTAAGCAGTGTACAGCCTAAAATGTTTTGGCATGTTAAGAAATAGTCTTTTAAGGTCGTCGTTGGCAACTGCAGAAAGATTTCCATGTTTGGGTCACTATGTGACCAAAACCCCCATTAGATGCCCAATGCGTGCCTATTGGGATCTTTGCAGGACAAGCCTTCAAACAGCTCTTATTTCTTAACCGTATAAGCGTAAGCCTATGGAGGTTAACTGGCACCTAAATTAGCCCAGTTTACTTTGGTCAGCTCAGAACAGGATGCTGGTTTTCTGCAACAACCATGTGGGATATAGTAATAAAAAGACAGAGCGAATGTGTGGAAAAGCAAACATGTATATGAATCCGTTTGCTGTCCAGTGTTTCTGCATGTGTTTAAGTTAATCAGCTCCTGGTTGAGTGTTGGAGCTGATGTCCCTGTTTAGAACAAGAAGCAACACTCGGACTGTTATAGCTATGCTGTTCTTGTATAGCGTTATTTCTTCACACTTTTTTTCTTTTTATCACAACCAAGTTTTTTTTTTCTCTTAATAAGCATTGCCTGCAGGTTTATTTCTTTTTGTTCTTTCTCTCTCCATCAGTGGGTCAGCATTATGAGTTGTTGCACTTGACGCACTAATGAAATACTGCATCTGTTTTAACCTTCACCTAAACTCCTCTGTTTTAGTCCACAGAAGGCAGAGTTAATTGTTCCTGCTTGTTGTGTTGATTGTATGTATTGTGAGCGCATGTATCACCTTTATTGCATCCACAATGTTTTCCAGTTAACTCCTCCCACACTTCCCAACTTTACTGGTAAGAATGAATAGATTGCATTGGGCAATCTATTCAGGTTGGTGGACATTTATCTCGTCATAGGCAAATTAGTAAAGATTTAATGGAGGAAATGTGACGAGGTTTCAGTAATAGGATATTTTGTGTTGCTTAATCACGTGAAAGCTAAAGTATATCTGTATTTATTTGTAATGTGACAAATAGGGTAAAAAATTTTTAATTATTATGAATGTTATTGGAAGATGCTGTATCCTATTTAAAATTGATGAAACCTTCCAAAATAAAAGATTTCTATAGTACAGTCTTTGAGAAACAAATGTCCGAATCTTTTAAGTGCAACAGATCAAAAACAAGATTTGTTTGTTAAAAAACACCCAATTAAATATAAAAAATAAAACAACCAAAAAAACGAACATAGACATACACGATGTACTGAAATGTACTGTCCAACTATAGTCCTATTCAAATTGTCATAATAACTAAAAATATGATTCAAGACAAAGAAACTGAACAAAGAACTGTAGAATTAAAATAAGGAACTTAAATTTGAGCAGTGTCACCATAAGACTATAAATACAATTAGTTTTGTTGGTGCTGATTTAGATGTTGCCTGAAATTTGTGATGTTTTTTGTCTTACTGGTGCTGAAGCCCTGACTAACACTGCAGATGCTGCATCTAACAGATGTTACATCCTTCATGAAGTGGCTCCAAACCTGATTGTTCCCCTCTGCCTGTAAAATGAATATATATACATTTTGATAATTAGATTTTACTTCTACTGATGAGCATTTAAAAATGAAAGCAGCTGCATAGAGTTCAAAGTGAAAACTCACAGGCCAATGAAAGGTGTTCCTCCTCTGAACTAGGGGGACTAAACTAGGTTTAAAGAGCAATGCAGCAGATTTTGAAACATCGGAACAGGTTTGCAAACTAATCAAATTAGTTTAATGAAAAAAGGAACTTCTGAATTGATGAGCCCCAGTTCCTCCTGCATGTCAGCATGAACACTATATAATAATATTATTTTCCTTCTGAAATTAAAAGCTAAAACTTGTGCAGAGCTAAAATGCAAATATGTGGCTCTCCTTAATGCGCCCTAACGCTATGTTTCCATGAGGATGGTTGTTGTCATGGGTCACTAAAGTGCAGTTTCACAAAATCACAAGGGGGCAGAGGAGCAGAATGAGGCTGGCAGAAGTAATGTTTTGATTTTTACTGCAAAAATAGAATTTTTTTATGCATCAACCACATTTTGGCTGATGTCAATAAATGAACCAGACCCTAAAAATCAGCCTGCTGATTAATCGTTCAGCTCTACTCCAAACACGCGCATCTTATGCATTCCTCCATTTTCTTCCCTACAACCACAAAAGTATTTTTTTTGTTTATTTTATTTTTTTTTTTTTTTGCGGCTCATCAAAGATTTGACCAACCCGGTTCCTCCTAGAGGTTTTCGACAACAAACGGTTCACTCATACCCTCATACCTTACTAGCATGTTTTACTCTGTGCTGTCTGATGTTAATGTGCTGATTTATAACTGTGTACAACAAGCATTAACAGCCCTTCTCTCTCATTTCCAGCTAAGGAATCCTGTAGAAAAAAAGTCCTCCCTTGTGGCAATCCTGCTGTGAATGAGCTTCCATCCCCATCATGTTTTACAGTACCCCTCCCTCACCTTCGCCTGCACCCAATTCCCATAACTCCACCCTCCTCCACATGCTCCCTCCCCCCCGCTGCTTTTGTGGAAGACGCTGGGCATTTCTATCAGTTTGACATCACTGTTTTTTGTTTTGTTTATCTGAATGAGGCTTGTTGGTTTTGTACAAGTGATCATTCCGCTAAAGTTCCTGTGTTATGCAAATTTACATTCCAGATTTGTTTCATATTCAGCTATTCTTTGCATGATGTGAGCTTTTTTGAAAGATATTAACATACATGACTACTGGTGTGATGGACAAGAACGTGTTAAGGCTAAAGAGGATCATGCATGATCTATAGAGCATCTGGGTCAGGTTTGTTATCTGAAGATTATAAAGAAATACAGGTATTATCTGTTAGGCACCAATGGGAGCGGACTACAATCCATGTACTCAAGCTCTATTTGCTTGATTAAAATTGGCAGATCATGTGAAATATTAGTATATATTTTATAAATCATTTTCTTTAATTCTTGCCAACCCTATATCTTGCCAATACTGTTGAATCTCATGCAGTTGTCTTTTCCCTTTAGCCTGATGCATGAGCAGATGCGAGCCCCATATCTTTTGCCACTTCTCGCATACCTCATTCATTGTCATGTTTTATTTGCATACTTATATTAGCTTTCATATTTGCACTTTGTTTTATACTCTAATGTGACGTGTTTTCAAAGTATATTTCAGTGTCATCAGTGCAATTGTAACTTTCTTTTCTTTTTGTACTTTTTATATGTAGGCACATTTTAAGGTCATAATTATGAAAATAATTATGATTCCACATCCTGCAAGGACATATATTTGTATCAGTGCAACACATTGAATAACATTTTCTAAAAAAAATAAAATTTTCACCAAAACGATGTAACTGTGGCCATGGTCATTGTGTGTGAGATGTGAAAAATAGCAACAGCCTAAGGAAGAATGGGAGTTGCTTGGATTATTAAACTGCAGGGAGGATTTCTGGTGATACTTGTATGGGTGTGTGTATGTATATATATTTTAATAAATTAAACTTTTATATGAAAGTCTGGGAGGGGGGTTAATTTCCTTTGACCTACTCCTAATTATTTTGCCACTCAGACAGCGATTATTAGAATTTATGGAAGCTCATTTCACCCATTGAGATGATCAAGAAAAGTATCACATTATGAAAATGCCACATCATGGTTTTAACTAAACTCACCCATTGCTAATTTTGGGATATATATATATATATTCATGACTTATTCTATAATAATGAGATGCCATCTAATTATTTGTAATAAATACTGTAATGTCTTATAACCATTTAAGTAATTATATGACAGAGAACCATGTATCCTATCTGCTAAATATGTTGGATTTTTAAGACCTTTGAGATTCTTCCATAACTAAAACATGATCCCTTCTCATAATAATTTAGTCTTCCTTAGAGGGATTTGATCTTATAATAATGTTGGTTATTTCATAGAAGGGATGGACATAATAAAAACTGATAGTGATGGAATATAGACATTGCATAGCTATCTCATGTTATTTTAACTTATCAGAAATGTACTTCCATAGCAATAACCCTGACAGAGTGGCAAAATTGAAGTAATGAAGAGGCATTACATCCGTCTGATTATCAGCTCACTGCTCTGTGTGATTTCACTTTCCTTTGCAGTAATCCGTGGCTCTGCACTGAGTAGGTCCTCTGCCCTCCCCCAGCTTTGCTAAGGGACCGGCCTCTGGGGGTACTCTGTGCCCCAAGTGTCACCCGAGGCTTTGTGGACCCCATCTGCTTCAGGGTTTCCAGTCATTAGCTTTTCTATAAATATGGGTTGATGTGTTGCTTTACTGCTGCTTTAACCTTTAATGAAGCTCTCTAATTCTTCATGTTCAACGTTTGTGTTGATGTGACTAATGTATGGCACGTGTTCATAAAACATTACAAGATTGATGTTTGCAATCTTCAGCACCAAAGTTCAGATTATTTGGAGAGTTTCAATGCAGTATTTGCAGCGCTTGGTATTTAGCTCCTTACAGATTTCTTTGTTGGTTTTGTTTGTATTGTTTCAGATCACTAAAATTCATTTTTATATCAGACAATAACAAATATTTAAGGTTATTTTAATGATAACAAAGATGGATTTCCAAATCAACCTGACTAAATAAAATGTAAGGTTATGCTACTGAATCTCTAAAATCAAGTCAAAGTCCAAACTTTGACTTGATTTGAGCCAGTCACGGGTGGACTTGTTTTCTTCAGTGATTTAGCTGAATGGCAACAACTAGTGGCTGGATCTTGTACTTCCAGACTTTGTTTTGGAGAGCAGAACTCATAGTTCTATTAATGACAGAAGGTCCGGCTCCTACAGCAGCTCCAGTCATCGCACTCCTAACACCATGCTTGACTTGGTTCTTTTTCTGAATGTTTTGAGCAGGAGTAATAAGTGTGAATCTTTGGAAGATTCACACCTTCCAAAAAGTCTTGGCAGTCTACAGTAATGTTTTTCGAAGCTCATGGAGGTAATAAAGATATTCCTTTTGTCAAATCCATCCTCTTAGTTTACCAGTGGGTTTTAACTAATGCTTAGTGGTTTACTGGAGTCCCACAGACTTGGGCTTTCTAACAGTTTTCAATCTGGAGGAAGTCTTATTCCTCTCTGACTTTCTTCCACAATTTCTTTAAATTATGTGTTTTATTGATTTTTTGCTGTTATATTTAGGTGATTGCTTTATGCAACAGGTCAGACAAAAGTGTGCCTAGTGAATTTGATCCTATTTGCAGTGTACAGCTGATAAAAGATAGAACTAAAGAGGTGAAATCTACTTTTTCACATAGTTCTGAGTTGATTTGGATAATCTTTGATGCATTCATTGGTGATTTTATTGGTGATCTGAAAAATATCCGTAATTACAAAAAAAGCAAACCATCTAAATGGAGTGAAAGACCCTTTCAAAGCACTGCAAACATTTGGGAGTTAAGAAGGATAAATTCCTTTAAAGGTTTTCTTGAACTTGAAGCTTTTCTCTCGCTCTTCGCTTTTTATCTGCAAGCATTTTTCCCTCTCCTCTAACCTCCGGCTTTGTTTTCTCTTTGTCTCTTCAGCTTCTTTTAATCTGTCTTGACCACCTGAAGAGGGGATTGCAGCTTCAGCAAGAACTAAGCACCCTTTACCTCCTTCTGCTTTTTTCTCCTTGTATCAGCCTTTTCATTCTCCTCATCGCATCCTCCTTTTGTTTAATATGGCCTTATGTGGACTCGCATGGTATTTCTGACCACCTAGTGAAGCTCTGAAAACCAGAAACGGACTAAATTATGCTGTTATGTCTTAATGTACATAGAGAGACTCTTATAGTTAGCAGAGGATTTCAGGAGGGAGTCACACTTTTTTTTTTTTTTTTTTTTAGGATTCACGGGTAAAATCATTAAATTATCTCTTTCTTTAAATTTAACATGACCTGCACTATGCACTCATTTAGATTCAAAGTATAAAATGCATATTAAATTAAACCTGAGAAATGTTTGAGTTGTGATTGAATGAAATCCTGAACACTTTAAAGGAGATCTGTTTTGTTTTTTTAAATGGAAAAAAAAATTAACATAGTCCTAAAAAATGCCAAAGCAGCTGTTATGGTTCTCGTGTTCAGGTATCACCATTGAATACCATGGAGGTCACATGTCAGGGGCTTTTATTACATGTCGTGCTCTAACATTAACTGGTATGTTCTATATTTTTTGCATGCATCTTTTATTAAAGTTTCATAACTGCTGTGATCTTTCTGGTTTTTACTCCCCAGATATCTGAGCTCTGCGGTCTGTTCCTTTAATTGATGTTTTCTTACAAAAAAAGGAAAAAAAATGTTGCATTTAATCACTATAATTGCTCTGTCCAATGATTTCAGCTCCCAGTTTACCAAATGAGTTGAACAGATCCCCAGATAAAGAGTATTAAAAATACTCCTGCATTTATATAATTTATAAGGATATATTTTGTGTATTAAAGTGGAGATTTGTTGTTTATTACCTATGGTGTTTGGATGTGGTTCTTTGGAGTGTAAAAGTGACATTTTGGAATCAGGACCTGCCTACAAGTTTTTTCTAGTATCTGCCATCACCTCTTGTTGTTTAAACCTCTATTACAGTACAAATGATTCAGTATTCTGCTTTAGTTTAATTCCATTGATGTACATTTTGAATAAAAAAATAAATAAAACCAACATAGTAGTGGTGTTGTCCTTTATTTGTCTATTGTTTTTGTTTGCTTTTTTATTTTTTAGAATAATGGTTGTATCTATTACAATTAGAATGTTGTTGTACTTGGAAGAAATCTGAAATATATATTTGAATTTGCACAAAAGAGGAACAACAATTTCATTTAAAAATGTTAAACATGAACATATAAAAGCAGAATGATCAAACGATATCTTGCTAAACAGATTTAACTGTAGTTGAATAGGACAAAGGTTTTGCCATCTATTAAATATAATCTATGGATTTTTTTTTTTTATTGTTTTGAATCGTGAAGAGATTATCAACTTACAGGTGACTGTCACCTTTATTAAGACTGAATTAGATCTGTATCTAGTTACATGCATATGCTTTTATTCTGTGCAAGAGAGAAAAAAAATACAGTCAGCTGCATCAATGTATTCCATATTTAAGCAACTCATTAAATTGCTTCAAAAAATAAAGAGGTCACAGCAGTAAAGAACCACTTATTCCCAACAAGCTGAACCAAGCTCAGTATGAGCTGCAATATTTTTTTTTCCATGTTGAAAGATTTGAATCCTCTTGCTACTGAAATATGCTATACAGATAAACTTGCATTACCATCCCTTGTGAAATTACAATAATCAAACTTACAGTAGGAAGAGATGGACATAAAAAATACATTTTATTCAGAAACTTGGTTTAGAACTAGTATGAAAAACAGGAAATATTTATGTTAAAAATTTAAAAAGGCTAATTATTGAGTAGGTTTTGCATTACTTCAAAATCAGTTTTTCATTTCTATTTTACACAAAAAATTATTTACATGTATTTATTCTAGGTAGGAAAAATATTATTTACCCATAGAATATATGAATATATAAAAAAATCTGTCTGCAAGTATTTTTTATTTATGTTTTTATGTATAATTTCTTCTTATTGACCCTATTTGACTGGATGCGGTGTGTGAATGTGAGAAAATTGGTGAATGTGGTGTGAAGCCATATGCCAAAGGCTTACAAATAAACATTCCTTTTACCAAATGTAGCCTACAATTTAAGTAAAAACATACATAAAGGGAGTAAAACAAGTGGGGAGTGTCAAATTATAATTTTACAGTCCATATTTTTTTATATAAAAAAAATTGTTCTGTTTCAGTTATTATTTTCAAGTAACTAGGGAGATAGAATGTACAACAAACTAGGCAACACAAACTGTTTGGTTGAGACAATATTTATGTATAAATATACTAAAAAATACCCCATTCCATCTTTTGAAGAGAATTTACAAAAATGACGAAATAAGTTTAAAACTTTTAAAAGAAAATTTATGAATAATATAATTTAAAAATACAAATAGAAAACACAATATATTCCTTTCGCATTTTGCCTGACGGACGGAAGCCTTCTAGGCCAGCGTGTGAACAGGCGCCATGATTTTCCTAAATATGCGGAGAGAAAATGGACGCTTCCTGCTCGGATAAACTCGTGTCTGTAGCCGACTGTTGTAAGGTTTTGCGTTGTGAAATAATGTCAGCACCACTTGCGCTCCAGTAGAGACAAAAATGGATACATTAGAGTTAGAAAAACCTCGCTTTTGAAGCGGAGTAGAGTAAGCTAGGTATCAAATGCTACACTGTGTTGTCAGACAAACTAGCCTAGACAGCTAGCATAAGATGCTAACCGGTTTTATCATCAGCATTACCCTCATTATCTTCTAATATGTTACTTTTAGTGGTATTGTGAGACTAAGCCCTACAATTTAGGGTATTTTTACTCTATTGACTGTTAATAAAAGTCTATACGGTATATTGTTTAGCTTGCTAACGTGTGAAATATTAATTAACTGCGTCACGATTAAACCCTGATATTAACATTAAGTCTAGCTGTTGTTTTCGTATTTGAGCATAAAGCCTGTAAAAACTGCCCTATATGATACATACAAATAAAAACCATACAGTCGTTCATTGTTGATGTCTCATCAGGACCTTTTGCTGTAGGAACGGATATGGGCTGGATCTGACCTGGACAGTCCTGGTGATGGAGGACAGGACTTGGACTACCGAAATGCACTCCTTTGATCAAAGTCCTGTTGGCTCTGAAGCTAAAAAAAGACCCACTTCTTCTGATGGCAGTAAGTTATCAGAGTTGTTTTACATGCTTGTTTATAATTTTTTTTGTGATAGGATTACCCCAGTGCCTGGACATTTTTTGTTGTACAACCAATATATCTATTTTTTTTTTTATTATCAAGTATTGTCTTAAACTACATAAAACACTATCCGCCTTCAGCAATTCTTCAGCTGTTGATTTTAAGAAGTTACATTTAAAAAACACTGCCGTTGATGTTCAATTTCTTTTTTTAAATTGATATTTCATATCATTCCTACCTGTGGTCATCAACCTATATAACGCCTCCCTCAAGTGATTCAGCCCCCCCCCCCCGTCCGTAATTGACATTTATGCACTATTTTTGCACGCCACATATCACTTTACTTGGATTTATTCACTTTAATTGGACTTTTCACTTTATTTGGATTTAGTTTTTACATATACATAGATATACATACAGATATATGTACAGAAGAGCTATATGTGTATATATATTTTATCTCTTTTTATTCTTATTTTTTATCTTATTATATTGTATAGTTGGATGTGTGTATATATCATGTAAAACTGTAACTAGAGCGTGTAACAAAAGTAATTTCCCTCTGGGATTATTAAAGTATTTCTGATTCTGATTCTGATTCTGATTGGTCTCAGGAAGCTGTTATTCCAAGTTAAGTTTATACTGTAAGTTACTCCGTGAACAAATTGTGATTTGAAGCAGGATATTTTGCAAATTCAAGCTGAGACCTGACACAAGAAAAGCATCAGAAATGCTGTGCCCTTTACTTAAAGAACCTGTGGATGTAGGGCAACAAAAGTGCATTAAGCTCTTGGTAAAGATGCATTAGTAAATCCTGATTCATAGGTTTTTGAGCATCAGCATTTTCACCAGACTCTATAATTTCTATAAACTTTTAGTCACAGATTTCCCTCTGAGACTTTTTTTGGTAGTTGCAAAGATTTTGAGATTTCAAACAATATTTATTCACATATTTTTGAGGTTTCCAGGCCTAATTGGAAGCATAGATGACAATCACATATTATGTTCGTTCACTAAAGAAAGGATCTTATATTTTATTTGTAATGCTTTTTAGGTGATTTTTTTTTTGCTATTTCATACACTTTTATGCATTTTTGCAAATACAACTTGAATAGCGGATTCAACAGCGGAACAGCAGCTCTGCTTTTTTTTTCCATATTGAGTTGAGAACTAACTCACTTTTCACATATTAATTACAAGTGATTAATTACATGTGTTGAATAATGCAAATAAAAGGCTGTCTAATTTAGTTGGCAAAGGTCAAATAGAAGAAAAGCTAATAATTGGATCTTACCTTGTCTATTTAAATTCTATCTGAATTTTTCTGCTTGGTCCTTTTTTCGCCTTCTGAAAGTATATTTCACATGGGCACACAGACACATTATTTTTGGTATGTTAGAAAATAACAAATTCTCTATCAAATCCCACTCTTTAATTGAATGAATGCTAAATCTATTTATTTTGCAGCAAGAACAGTGTTGAATTTTGTGTTCGGCAGTTTTGATAACATCAATATGCTGTCTTAAGAATTTTAAGTTTCACTGACAGGAAATACGCACTATGAGGCCCCTTGATTCCTCCTGTTGCAGCGATAGATCGTGTTTTCTAGGGCTCTGAATTGAGTTATATGATTATTATCAGCCAATTTTGGACTGAAAATCCTGAATATCACAAAACCAGATTCACTCAGAATAAGTTAAGCCCACTTCCTGAAACGGGGCCCAGGTCAGCTAGTGAGGCAGGCTGGATGGAAGCTCATCAACATAGGACGTAGGAGACGTTTAAAACTAATAAACATCTTGATAAACCAAACTATTTAATAGATAGATATCTGGGGATTATTTTTGTCACAGAGGGTGTGAGATATTAACCAGGACCGTTTGCACATTAAAGTATAGAGTTGGGAAAATTGAAATCATAAGAATGTTGTAAGAATGATGAAGTTGTATTAAAATAAATTATTGTAAGTTCATATAGTGGAAACCAGTCTATATAGGAGGAGCTGCTAATTTTATACAGAATATTACTATGGCTGCTTTGATGTATTCAAGAGCTGTATGAGTTATTTAATGCCTCTGGCAGAGCATTTGATCCTAGGTTTGAGTTGCGGCAGAGCAGGAGGTGTTTCTGGAATTTGTTTCTCTAGTTTCAGCATGAGCCACTCTTAAGCGATGATTTGATCTGTCTGTCTTGGAGAGTAATTTTTAAACCTAAAAAAGACACTTTGAATTCTGTAAAATTGTCCCACTATGAAAAAACTAAAAAACAATCTTGTTAGTTTTCCTTTTTTGACACAGAGCATGGCTTCATGGTTTTTGGAAATTAATGTCTCAACTGAGATTATGTCAGGGTGTATTTGTTTTTCTAAAACCAGCCTTTATAATTTCAGGAGACGAACCCATGAGGAAAATGCCTGTGACAAAGTTTGGATCCAGACCTAGATTTGAGCCTGTGCACTTTGTTAGTGGGGGAAGCTGCGCGGGAACCGGCACTGATGAGAAGGAGAACGATAAGGAGCGCAGGAAGAGTGACTGGCATGGTGCAAGACAGTGGGACTCTCATCACTCCTTACACAGCGGCCGGACGCAGGGATTCTCCTCTCTCAGGCCTGCTTTTGACCGAGTGCCACCGTGCTCCAATGACTTTTGGGGCGCCCCCAGAGATGGAAATGGCTCTCCCGGTAGCACTAGTGGACTAGGTTATGGAGGCCATGGGCCATCCTTAAACTACATGGCGAAAATGCAGCAGAACTACACAGCCAAGTATGAAGCCCACACATCATCTTATAGTTTAGACTCTTATTCAAAGCCCCAGCGGTATAACGGATATGTGGATGGGAGCAGAACTAACAGCTGGG